AGATTCAGGCTTCGTCTCGGAGTTTTCAATCTGCTTATGATCACCTTCAACAGTGAATGACACCTGCTGCGGCCTGTTGTTGTTTTCCTTGTATGTGATCAAGTTGGTGTTGCCGTTCTTGCTTCCGTTCAACACCAACTTCTTGTAGTTGGTCTTAGGAGCGAAAATATCAGACGACATGATAGCTGCATCAACATCAGCATTGAACAATTCCTTCTTCTTGTCCTCCTTGCGTTCTGTAGAGCTGATGCTTTCCTTCCTTCTGGTGGTAAATGGCACTGACTTGTTAGCAGCAAAAAGCGGTGCAACCTTGTGAGCAGTTAAAAGCGTAACACGCTTCTTAGCTGGTGGGTGCACAGCGACAGCCAATGGGGCCTCAGGCTGTCCATTGACATTCTGGTTAGTGCCTTGTATGCTCTGGAACAATCTGTTGTTTCCGTATGGGTTTTGAGTGCCAATGTTGACAAGACTTTGCTGGCCTTGGTTTTGATTCTGGTTCTGCTGCTGTTGCTGTTGGCCTCCAAGCAAAGAGCCGCCACCGAAAAGACCGCCAGAGGTGTTATTGTTGTTATTCTGCTGTTGGTTGTTGTTCAGACCAAACAAACCGCCTCCAGTCAGACCACCAAAAGTAGTAGATGGCTTGTTGAAGAGGCCGCCAGAGGTATTAGAGCCGCCAGCAGCACCACCAGCAGTATTGTTGTTTGCTCCACCGAAAAGGCCTCCGCCAGTTCCAGTGTTCTGGTTGTTGTTGCTCAGGCCAAACAAACCACCGCTGTTGCCAGTCGAAGCGTTGTTGTTAGAACCAAACAAACCTCCGCCACCACCACCGCCACCAAGGCCAGGTTTGCTGCCAAAGCCGCCAGCATTGTTGGTAGGAGCACCGAAGCCAGTGGATCCGGCATTGTTCAGGCTACCAAAAAGACCTCCGCCGGTCTGGCCAGCGGGCTTAGAGCCAAAGAGTCCGCCACCGCTGGATTGGTTGTTCTGGTTGTTGCTGCCAAAGAGACCACCGCTGTTGTTCGATTGATTGTTGCTTCCAAACAAGCCACCACCAGTGTTGTTTTGGTTGTTTTGGTTGTTGTTGTTGCTGCCAAAAAGACCACCTCCAGTGTTACCAGATGACTGGTTGTTCTGGCCAAAAAGACCGCCGCCAGTATTGGACTGACCAAATCCGGAGCTCTGATTATTGTTGTTCTGGGATCCAAAAAGACCTCCACCAGTAGCAGGCTTGCCGAATGCTGAGCCGCCTCCACCTCCACCTCCGAAAAGACCTCCAGAGGTGTTATTATTGTTGGTGTTTTGACCAAATGCCGAGCCGCCACCACCAAAACCTGTGTTTGGCTTATTGTTCGATCCGAAAAGGCCACCACCAGTGTTGCTGGAGCCGAATCCACCAGAACCACCCAAGGCGTTGTTGTTGTTGCTGGCGCCAAATGGCGAGCTATTGTTATTGTTGTTCTGACCGAACGCAGAGCCTGTGTTGTTGCTGCCAAAGGCAGATTGGTTGTTGTTCGATCCAAAGACACTAGAAGTGTTGTTATTGTTGTTCTGACCAAACGCTGAGCCACCGCCGAAGCCGCCTGAAGGCTTGTTGAAAGCGGAAGAACCGCCTCCAAAAGCACTGGAGCCACCTCCAAAAGCGGAGTTTCCAGTATTACCGCCAAATGGCGAGCTGTTGTTGGCTGTGTTGTTGCTTTGGCCGAAAAGACCCCCACCGCTAGTGTTGTTGTTCAGGCCAAATCCACCAGAGCTCTGACCAAAGGCAGAGGTACCGGTATTGCTCTGGCCAAAGGCAGAAGTTCCGGTGTTGTTAGAGCCAAAGGCTGAGTTGCCTCCACCAAAAGCTGAGCCAGTGTTTCCTGTGTTGGCACCGAAGCCAAAACCGCCCGGTTGTTGTTGTTGGTTTGCACCAAACCCGGTACCGGTTCCAGTGTTGCCGTTACCGTAGCGTCTGCCTTGCTCGTAGTCCTTGAGACGCAACTCATCGAAAGAGAAGTTGCTGTACTCTGGCATGTTCGACACATTGTGGTACAAGTTGGTTCCCGAAGAGTCCTTTTCCAGGAAGGGAGTGAATGGTTTCACAGCGGTACCGTTGTTTTGGTTGGAAGCACCGGCAGCGCCAAACCCAGTGGTAGTAGCAGCTCCACCAAATGGCGACACAGAGTTGTTCTGAGGCGTACCGAAACTTGAGCCAAAGGGTTTGTTGGCACTGCTTCCAAAAAGACCACCACCTCCGGTATTGCTGCTGCCAAAAGCGCCACCACCAGTGTTGTTACTGCTTCCAAAAGGAGAGGCGTTCGTTTGCGTGGTGTTGTTGTTGCTGCTTCCAAATACCGATCCGCCAGAAGATCCAAACCCAGTATTGGAGGATCCGAATGCACTTCCACCAGTGTTGGCCGTGTTGTTATTGGAGCCGAATGCTGATGTGCCCGAGCCACCAAAAGCAGAGTTATTATTGTTGGCAGTGTTGTTGCTGGCGCCAAAAAGGCCACCTCCTGAACTCGACCCAAAAGCACTGCCAGTGTTGTTACTTTGACCGAACGGCGAGGTCGTTGCATTGTTGTTAGTGTTCGACAGGAACGGAGAGGACAGGTTGTTGGCGGTGCTGCTGAAGCCGCCGAATCCTGATGTGGACCTCCCAAACATCTCAATTGGCTGGGTTTCGTGAGATTTGGATGTTGGTAGTTGCAGTTTTTTCCTTGATGTTTTCCTACTGAGATCGCATGAAAGTCACGTGGACGTCATTCAAACGGCTACAAAATAGGTGGATTATGGGTAAACACGGTGAGATCTGTGGATTTTGGATTTAAGGGATATGAAGAAAGCTGTTGGCTTTTTGGTGGTCATGGGTTTACAAGGGTCATATATGGGCACATACAAGTTTAATGGGGTAGGACAACCAGGAATGTGTATCCAAGCCACATACTAATGTACTATTTGCGTCTAAAAGTGATGAAAAATATATTGGATTTATTGGATTTGGGAAGTTTTGATCCAAAATACTTTTGATTAGAAGTAGTGGTGTTCAAACTTTTTTACACATGGGAGTTCTCAATGATGCATCAATCGCATGTACGGCTTACATTATGAGTTTCGCAACCGATTATCATAAATTTGGAAATAATACTTCTACACCAGATTGAATCAAACCCATTGGTGCTCATCAAAAGTATCAAAAATCCCCTACAACTCTTTTTTCCATCTCCATTACTATAGTCCCATCCAATGCATCACTCCTTCAGCTCGTCCTCGAGCTCCCCATTGGCCTCCTCCTTGATCTCCTTCTTTACCTCCTCTTTAGCTTCTCCATCTGTCTTCCCCTTCTTCGCTTTCTTACCCAAAAGCAGCGAAATGTCCTTTTCAGCCGCACGCTTCTTCTTTGCTGTCTTTGTTTCAAACTTCTTCAACTGCTCAGCACGTTCCTTAGCACCAAGCTTGCTGAGCTCTTCGAGCTTTTCTGTCACTTCCTCATCGGAAGGCTTCTTGTCCTGTAACCACTCCAAAAGCTTGATCTCCTCTCCATACACCGAATCATCCTTGCCCACAGGCGTCTCCAAAATGATCGGAAGACCCTGGATCCGGGGCTCATTGGCAATCACTCTGAACGCCTCAAGTCCCAAAAAGCCGTATCCAAGCTTCTGGTGTAAGTCTCTGTTTGCTCCAAGCGGAGCCTTTGAGTCGTTCAAGTGAATAGCGCTCAAGAACTCGAACCCAATGATCTTATCGTAAGTGTCCCAGAAATCCCTGAACTTTGTCTCGTCACTGATATCGTAACCAGCGGCAAAAGAGTGGCATGTGTCGATGCAAACGCCCACACGGGACTTGTCCTCCACCATGTCGATCACATCTCTGATATCCTGAAGATCCGATCCGATCAAATTGCCATGGCCGGCCATATTTTCGATGACGATCTTCACAAACAGCGTCTCGGCAATGGCTCTGTTGATGTTCTGAGCGAGCTTCTTGAGTGCTGCTTTGTGGTCACCATCAAGGCTGGATCCTGGGTGGAAATTGTAGAGACCAATGTCGAGCTTCTCGCAACGCTTCAAATCGTCCACAAATGAAAGATACGCTTTCTCGGATTTCTCGTCGTCTGGATTGGCCATGTTGATAAGGTACGAGCCGTGTGGCAACACGTCTGTTCTTGGGTTGTAGCCGTACTTTTCACACAAGTTCTTGAACTCCGCTACCTCCAGCTCCTTGACCTCTGGAGCAGCCCATCTGTTTGGATTTTTCAAAAATAAGGCAAATGAGTTGGCTCCAATGTTCATGGCATTGGTGACAGCCTTGGAAACGCCTCCAGCTACGGAAACATGAGCACCAAACTTGAACTTCCACTCGACCCTGGGGTACTGGAAAGTGGGTTCTTTAGCGGCTTTCTTGGCGCCTTTCTTAATTGAGCCTGACGCGGCTTTGCTGGGATTGTTAGAAATGCTGGAAGATTGTGGTGGGATGACATACCTTGGAGCCATGTTGGTGGAGATAATGTAGGTGCGAAATGCGATGATGCGTATGCGTTGATGTGAGATGATGCCATGGGGAAGGGTCACCTTTTATATATTTACAAGGGTTTGTTGGTCTATTGCTTTGCTAATTGCAAGCATTCTCTAGTGTTGATGTCAATTGCGACGGCAGTGTTTGTGGTGGGGTTAATTGGCAAAGTCGTTGGTGTTCAATGAGCCCAGATTGTGACATCCATGGACCTGGTCAGACGATCTCGAGGTTTTGAAAACAAGGAAGACAAGTTCTGGATCATCGCGCATGTCTCAGGGTCCAATCACATGCTTCAAGTTGATTCGACAGTCACCGATTGTGTTTTAATCGTTCACATCTTATACCAGTAGTAGGTGATCTCTCGACAAGTTCAGTGTTTTACCGTCTGATACCCTCTTAACCTTCCTTATCAAGCGTTCCTCCTCTATGAAGTGCCCTTGCCATCGTGCCCAAATTACATCTCGATGCCCTTAGAATGCCTTCTCTAAACATGGACGAAGCACCATCTACTTCTTCCACTTCTTGTGCTTGGGCTTCGGCTTCGGAGTAGGTGCTTCTCTTGGCGTCTCCTCCTCCACCTCAACTACTTCCGCTTGTCCGTTTTCTTTCGCTGCTTTCGCTTCAGCTGCAGCTGCCTCGGCGGCTTCTCTATCATAGGGATAACTCGTCAGTTGCACCTTGCTGTTGAACCACAGCGCTGAGTCACGGAAATCCTCAAAAATGGGCTGCTGCACCTCCAACAACGCAAAGTCCAGGAACTTTTCACGCCTCTTGTCCGCATCACGCACCTTTTTCGGGAGATCGCTGGGGTACAACGTTAAATACGTATCCAAATTGAACCGTTCTCGCTGCTGTGGATCACAAAGGGCAAACGACGCGAGCAACGTGTAGTAGGCGTCGTTGGCGGCATTGTGCAAGTTGGCATGTGGGATACCCATAGTTCTCAAGAGCCCACGAAGCGTGGTGCCCTTGGACCGGGAGTAGCTGAATATCTTCATCGTGTCAACCACCGAAGGGTTGTCAAACTTGACGCCCATGCCTCTGATCCACTTGATGTCACCATCCACATTGTGACCCACAAGACTGCCTCTGCAGTCGACAAGGTAGTGGTTGAAGAGGTTCGCAAGGAACTGACGCAGCTGGATCATCAGAAGCTCATACGAGTAACCTCCGTTGAACTCAAACTTCTTGTTGGGCACAAAGCGCGTGTTGAGCATCTGCTTGTTCTCTTTGATGATGATGTGAAGTGTCTTTATGGTCGGCTGAAGCAGGAGCTGCTGTGCTTCGGGATCGTAGATGGCCACCCCCACTTCCGTCACTTTAGAAGGATTCCTTTCGAACGCCTCGATGTCTATACTGACCAAAGGTCTCTTTCTGAGGTAGACCGCCTCCATCGACTGGCGCAAAGCTGTAATGTAGGTATCTTTAGTGAAGTTGAACTGGGTTGTTGCAAAGTACTGGTCGAGCGCCTCACGGAGCGCCGCCTGCATGGTTGCAGCTTGTTTTGCAAACGCCGTTTTCATGGAGTAGTAGTATTTGCACTTTCGCAGTGTTGATGCTCACCTCCATATGGGTCTCATTAGCCCAGCCTTAGATACTATGGACTCCTCTGCTGCTGGAGAGCTTGCGGCAAGGCTTCGGGAAAAGCCCCTGGCCAATGAAATCCCAATTCTTCTAGATCCTTACCTCCAGGGCAATCCGTCCCAGAAGGAGCAGTTGGAGGTGGTGGTTGCATTACTCAAATACACGGTTCCAGAGACATATCGCCACTTGACGGCGCCTACGCAGGAGATTGTGGCGGCAGCGTTCCGTTCGGCTGTGGGTCTAGGGAACTTGCTTGCCAAAATCGAAATGTTGCTTCGTCTGAAGGCAGATACCCTGTTGGATGTGCTTCTGGCTGTGAACTGCCATACTCGGCTTCTAGGAAAAGTGCTTGAGCCGGGTCTTCTTGGTCGTCTAATACCGGGCCGTCTGACCATAGAAGTCAAAGAGGTCGACCGGTTGCTTTTCAAGGGAAAGTGCTACTCCATACTTAGAGAGGCTGACTATAAGCTCAATGGGGTCTATGTACCCATGGTCTGCCGGGACCTGGGCACCTATGCTGCCTATCTATGCCACGAATTGCTATCTGTGTACGCTTCCTGTGATCCGAAAGTTGTCAATTCCTTGGTACACTCGCTTCAGAGTGTGAATCAGGATACCACGTTCCAGTTCTTTGACACAATGTTCTCACCTGAGCATGTGGGTTTCCTCCGAGGATGCGTGATTGAAATGAAGCGTTTTGAGCGAAAGAATATTTTGCTCCGATTTCTACTGTTCGTTCAGAATGCCTATGTTCGCAAGGATGCCCTAGATTCGGTGCCTGCGTTGTATACCCTCACAAAGTACTGCTTTGACCACTCGGTGTGGGATAGCATCATGATGGAGTCTGTAATTGGACGTTCCAGCTATGCAATTAACACTTTGGCCGCTCATTTAGCAAGGGCTGGTCTTGATGATGCAAACTACGTCTCTTTAGTCTACAAGACCCTACAAGTTTGGGGAAATGCCATCCACATGAAGGGCGAGCCAATCGTGACTCAGGGCTTCAGAACACACCTTCTCGTTGCATTGTGTGCCTTGGTGCCCCGGGAAACCTTGCATGAGCTTCTCGGTCAAAAACCGTTCATCGATGCCATTTCCACAAGGCTACAGGCCATTTCGGAGAGAGTAAGAAGTCTCGGTGTCTACTTTGCCGACAAAGTATGTGAACTAGCAGATCACGAACGCATTTTTAATATGAGCGGATCTGTCTTGGGTGTGGCATTTCCTGAACCAGTGGGCCTTACTCCCACAACTGACCAGAGTGAGGCATGGAGCCAGCTTCGAGCTCCCCTGGTAGAGCTCCCGGAGCCTGAGGTTGACGAACTTGAAAAAGCGTTCAAAGAGTCGCTCGGCAAGGAAGCAGATGATGATAATATGAGTGATGAGGAGGACGATCCCACGCTCGCCAATGCCCCAAAAGTCCAGCTGCCCATCTATATTCGTGATTTATTAGAGTACCTTCTGGCTGACACGAAGGCACCGCAAGCATACGAAAAAATCCAATTGGCGCTCAAGACGGCGCCCACCCTAATTAGACAGAAGAAAGGTTTCGGTGAGGAAGTTGCATTCTATGCCGAGGATCTTCTTTCAAAGCTAGCGGGAATGACCAACTTCTACGAGGATGCATCATTTGAGAGCTCAAAGCTCAATGCCATGATAGCTGTCGTCGTGAGCCACCCACCTGTGACTACACACTTATGTCACTTGATCCTCACCGGCGACTACTCCCTTCAGCAGCGAGTTTGCCTTCTCTCCACGATGTCATTGTCTGCTAGAGAGCTCAGAGGATACAAAGACGAAATGGTCGCTCTGAGCCATTCAAACCAAATCTTCCCTACTCAAATGCTTCCGGGAAAGCTTCATCAGCAGTACTTGGCTGCTGAAGGTAAGATTGAGGAATACGGCAGTCTGGCGATACAAGCCGAGATTCAAAATCAACTCATGGGCGAGGCTGCTGAGGATGCTAGGGATGAACTTGCCGGAGGTCGGATCCTTCGAGTATCTGCTTCGCTTAAGAAGAAGCCCCAAGCATCTGCTCCGCTCATCACCAAGGATGCCCTCAATTCCTTCAACAAATCCGTTGGAAAGACATTTTTCTTCCCACTAGTCAATGTCTGGTGGCAAAGTGGTGGTATAAACATCGGCGCTTACACTCCTATACTTACGGCACACTATCTCAAGACGCTTTCGTTGATTCTACATGCTGCGTACCCTTCTGCGTCTGATCTCCTCGAAATGGCAAGGGAGTATCTTGGCCTCCTAATTCTGATAATCCCGACACTCGATTCTGAGCAACTCCCTGTGATTGAAGCCTTGTGCACTGGAGTGCTCTTGGTAATGGATGTGGTAGACGACAGTTTCCTCATAGCGCAGATGCTGGTTGAATTGGCCAAAATTCAGGACTTTTTCACCAATGTCTGGGAGACACTTATAGACGAAAAAGTCAAGAGTATCTGTGCTGGGCTTTTGCTTCGTCTCAATGAACTACATGGCAAGTACGAGCGCACGCTCATGGACCAGATGAACCGTGGATTTATTTAACCTAATTATGCAATACTCAAAGGGCGTGGAGTCCCAAAGTCAAGGCGGCAATTGCGCCAATAAAAGCCGTTGTCTTCCAGCTGATTTCGGTGGCTCCTCCGACTCTCATAGCGCCAGACGTCTTGTTGCCCAGAATGGAAGCTGTGTGGGACTTGGATTCGGATCCAGAATTAGAAACAGCGGAAGTGACAGTCTCGGCTTTCCAGACAGACTGGTCGCCTGTGAAACCCCACTTGTTGAATGTGGCTGAACCGCCAGTGGTGGAGTCCAAAGCTGTGTTCAACGCAGTTTCAGTAGGTGTTTCAGTTTGGGTCTGGGCCGTGTTGGCTGTGTCGAGTCTGGTGTCAAGGGTACCTGTGGCTGTACCTGTGGCAGTGCCTGTTTCAGCTGTGGCAGTGTTTGCAGTGTTGGCTGTTTCAGTATTGGCGGTGTAAGCCGTGTTGGCTGTTGCAGTATTAGCGGTGTTGGCAGTGGCGGTGTTAGCGGTGTTAGCGGTGTTGGCTGTGTTGGCTGTGGCTGCAGTGTTGGCAGTGGCGGTGTTAGCATTTGTGTTCTCCGTATTCTGGTTTTCATCAGCAGCCGTGGTATCTCCAGAATCTCTGGGGTTATCAAAACCACCCAAGTTGGCTGCAACAACCAAGGGCAAGAAAGCGGGAGCCACGAAGAATGGAGAAAGAGACATGACTTGCTAAGTCGTGAGGCGAGGAAATTTCAGGTTTTATAAATCGTGATTTATGCTGCGGCACGGTCTTCTCTAAGCGAGTTCTTCTGTTTACCTATTTCCGCATTAGGCCGCACACCTCGTTTGACGTTTGTAATATGTTTGCCCGATCGGGCTACACGCAGAAATATGAAAAACGAGATATCAGAGTCACATTGTATTACGTCATACTTACTCGACTGATAAACCGCCAGTGGCTCTTTTAACAGCCTTGGCTGCAATACCGATCCATTTGGCGGTTCTATCAAAGTCCTCATCCTCAATAGCCTCTCTGATACCAGGCCAGGTTTGTCCGGCGTAACCAGTCAAACGGCCAGAAGCAAACACAATGTGCTTAAACCATGGTCTCTCGTGAAGACCGTGCTTGTACAAGAAGTTTCTCTCGAAGTACTGGATGAGCTTGTTGTGGTGCTTGATTTCAAAGTGGAGCTTGATTCTCTGCCACCAGTGCAAATCGCCTCTGTTGTCAAAACGCTCTTGCAAAACGGCACTCTCTGCGTCAAATGTCAACGAGTCCTTCTCCAAGTTCTCCAAGTGAGCGTCGGTGTGTCTCAAAAGATCGCCAAACTTGAGCTTCTTGTGGTGCGAAGAGTCCTTCATCAACATCGTCAGAATGTGTCTGCACTGGTAGGGTTCCAAGAGCTCCTCAAAGGCAAAAATGTGTCTGTCAACGTAGTAGCTCTGAGTGGCCTCGTAGACAGCCTCAAGGTCCTCACGGTCGTTCGTGATGTACTGGGCCATGACTGGGTGAGGCACCTCCTGGTCAAGCCACTTCTTAGGAACAAGCTCCTTGACCTGCTCAAAGTAGGAAATCAAGTCCTTGGCGTAGTCATTCAACGAGAACTCGATAACCTTGTGCTTGGTCAACTCCAAGGCCACAAGAGAGATGTACTTGGCAGCCAAGTTGTGGAAAACGAAACCCTTGTCACCAAACTTCTCCATCCAGTGGTATGAGTCGTAGTTCGAGTGGTACTGGTAAATTGGGTCCTTAGGGCCGCTCTTGAAACCAATGTCAGCGGAGGGGATACCCAAGTGCTCCAAGAAAACAGTGTAGTCGGAACCAGAGCCCAAGTTGATGATACGGTCGCCGGCCTCCTTCTTGTAGTGGTCGTACAAAGAAAGACCGCCCTTGCCGGGGTATGGCAACCATCTGGCCACCTTTCTCAAGACTCTGTTCAAAACTGGAGAGGCACTCAATTGCAAGAACTTACCCTGAACGCCAACGTCGACGTTCAAGTAAGCAACGACATCCTTCTGCAAGCTCTTGGCAGCGTATTCGCCAAACTCAGTGGATCCGATAAGACCGTATTCCTCACCGTCCCAGTTTTGCAAAATAATGCTTCTCTTGAACTTGTAGCCGGCGTCCTGAAGCTGACCAAGGGCCCTGGCAATCTCGAGGAGTACAGCAGTACCCGAGTTAGGGTCGCCAGCGCCGCCCTTGATCCAAGCATCACGGTGGTTGCCAATCAAAATAGCCTCGTTTCTGTTCTCGCCCACAAACTCACCGTACACGTTCCAAATAGGAGTGATCTTGAAAGTCTGGTTGCTGTACAAGTTCAAAGACGCGTCGGGGTTGGGGCCCGTGGTGTAGTCGAACTCGTCCAAGCCTCCCTTCCAGTCCTTTGGAGCCTTCTTGCCGTGACCGTTGAGCTTAGCCAAGATAGGCTTCACCTCTCTGTAGGAGATGGGGAGAGCAGGAATCTTACCAATACTGTTGTATGGGTCCTTTCTCTCGACGCCCTTCTTGGAAGCGTAGCCAGGGGTGGTTGGGTCACCAGGTTGAGCACCCACACCGCCCAAGAACATGGCGCTACCTCTTTGAACGGCACTTTCAGCACGGGCTGGACCCTCAGGGTATTGCTTGTAGCCATTCTTGGGCACAACCTCGCCATCGTCGGCAGGATCAGTGTAGAGCAAAACACCCACAGCACCGTTTTCCTGGGCAAACTTGACCTTGAGACCACGGAAAAGCTCGCCGTAACGGGCAATAGCAATCTTACCCTTGACACTGATGCCATTCTCCTTCAACCAGGCAAAGTCCTCGCTGCGGCCGTAGTTCACGTAGACGTAGTCCGCAGTGACATTGCCGTTGGCGGCAAAACCCAAGAAGGTGGGGATGGTGTCGTTGACGGTGGTGAAGTCCTCCTCAAAGGCGTCCTCTTGCAAAGGCGCCGTGTACTCGACCCTGCCCTTCTTGTCCAACAAGTGCAAGGCGTGGTCCTCGGGGTAACTCAACAAAACGTCGTAGTCATCCACAGTGGTCTTAGCACCATAGTCCGCAAGCTTTTTCCTTGTGAATTCCACAAGACCGTAGTTGGTGCCGGCCAAGTGCTTCTCGGACGCGTACGTCAACAGCCAATTGCTGGCGTAGTTCTCCTTCAAGGCGTTCAAGACAATGTCCTCTGGGTGGTCGATTTTCTCCACGGAAAACAACGAAAAGTCAAGCTTGATAAGACACACCATCACCGCCAAAGCGACAATGGTGAACTTGACAAACCGACGCACGGGACCCTGGCGGGGCGTGGCGGTGATGTAATCTTTCTCCATATCCATGATGAGTGAAGATGAAGAGTAGTTACTGTGGTTATCAGAATCGCGATTGCGCCGCATTTTCCGTGCCACACAGGGTGGTGCACTAGGGTGCCGCAGGATGAAGGTTATATGGAAAAGTTAAATAAAAAAATAGGGAAGGGAGAGGGCGAAAAAAGTGGGTTTGATCGGAAAAGAAAGCTGCTTATTGAAATAGGGTGGAGTTTGAAAATTGGCTTTTTTGGGCTCGGGGTTGGCTAGTTGGGGTATGGTGGTTTCCATCAGGCCACTGTGATAGGGTACTGAGGTAGGGATACTGGAGCAATTCGTTGAATGGACTGATTGTTGTTAGTAATTTGGTGACTTTCCTTTTTCGATGTAAAATCAGTAAAGTTTGCTTAGAGCCGAAAATTGTGGAGACCGTTATCAGATAACTTAGGGTGCATCGAGGTTTGTGGCTTTGGGCCAGGGTGCATGTTCACGGTGAGTGTGAGGATTAGACCATTTAGGTATTTGAGGCATAGAGACCATAGGAACCATAAACTACGAAGTAATTGAGCTAAATCTTTTCCCGGATGCCTCTATAAATCACTTTTATTTAGCATTCTTGAACATCACCTATTGTTTGTGGCTTTGGGTGGTTTCCTTTCGCAGTTTGCAGCCATTCATGGTGGATCTTGTGGGACACTGAAAAATATCCCCACCAGCTTAAGTGGCGCTAGATTCCCTGATCATGAGTATGTTAAGCTTTCGAAGATGCAATTATGAAGATCTGCTCTTAGCGGTCTCCCTACTCCATCATCAAATTCATCAAACCCCATCGGAGGAACATCCCACAATAACTCACCAGATGTCTCTCCCAAGCAGCACACATCATTACACAAAATCAAAAACCCAAAGCACCAACCCAATCCCGCTAACCTCCCTTTTTTCAATTAACGATTTGTCTCCTCCCTCGGGCCCCTGAGGCTTGGGCCACCTTCCCGATCGGGTAACCCGAGCTCACATCAACACCCACCTACCACTCTTTCCCATGGGATACAAGGAGTACCAGGGCGTGCTCCAGCTCAAGGCACACAAAATCGTGCTGCGGAAGCCCACGAAATCGTACAAACGGTCTGTGAAGGGGTGCTTCAGCTGCAAACGCCGAAAGATCAAATGTGACGAAACGAAAGGAAAATGCATGAACTGTGTCCGACGGGATCTCGACTGCCAGTACCCGGAACCCACCTTTGCTAGCCAGGAACAACAACAAACTCAAGTTATCGACGACATTTCAGGGCCCTTGGTACCGCTTGTGCCTCAGAAACACCTCTCCATCCAGATAGACAGCATCTTCCTTGTGCAATTTGCCCAGCGGTTTCTTCCCACTTTGGCACAGCCGCATTTCAACCACAAGGTTCCCACGCAAAGCCTCGTTCATTCTGTAGCCGAAAAGCTGGATCTTCTACGGCGAATGTCCATCGCTTGTGGAGCCTCACTAGTGGCCTTTGACGACCAGGCGTTCAGGGCGGTGGCTCAAAAACGGTATGTTTCTGCCTTGTCGCTTTTCATCAAAACCATGAAAAGCGGTGTTTTGGGCAGCGAGGAGTGGCTTTTTTTGGCCATCCAGGTATTGCAAACCCTTAGTCTTCGAGACCCTACTATGGGATGCAACGCTACTCGTTGTGCTGTACACCTTAGCGCTGCTTACGAGTTGTTCATGAAGAATATCCTCCAAAGCCGTGCCTCGGTCTCGTCGCTAGAACAAGCCATGATCGAGAACTTTTTGTTCAACTACAGCTTGACGATTATGTTCTGCGACGATGCACAGATTGAAAAACTCATCCCCAGCCCATTTGGCCTTTTCAGTACACATTACCAGCGCTTTTTTGAGCTTTGCAAAGATTACGAGGATCCGTCTCTGAGCCGATTATCCATTACAGCGTTTCAAATTGCAGCGAAAGCCTCATGGCTGTGTCGTCTCAGACTCCCATTAGCTGATTCAGACAAACTACTACACTGTGAGCTTCTCCAGCTTGCAGAAACGTGCCTCCTTACTCTGGAGACCCTCGGCACTCCCACGGTGCAAATCTTCGATACCCTTACCGTGGCAAAAGTGGTGCTTCATACGCTGATAATTCTTCTTCGCAAGATGCTCGATCCTGGTTTGAGAGCCTCAATTTTGCAGCCACTGATAGACGCTTTAGTACGCCTCGTGGGGGGTTCAAACGAATACGTGGTGATTCCCATCTGGTCTAGTTTCATAGCAGCCAGTGCCGCCACTGCTGGCAGTGATCGGCGTTTTTTTATTCAGACTTTGCAGAAACTAGGTACTCGGTCTGGGCTGCATCTTATCAACAGGGCAAGCAACTATTTGGAGGGGCTCTGGGAGATTTACAGTGGAGACGAGCCGTTTGATCTTCTTTTGGACACTAGGGCGTTGACCGCCGTTAGTCATGATTCTGGCCAGGATGCTGCTTTTCAGGGTACTAGTTGATAATGATACGAGCGCTGGTCGCTGAGGATTGGGTTGTAGAGTTTTTTCGGGCGTGTTGCGTTGAAAAACAAAAAAATCAGAAGATTACATTAGTTGAAGGGAATTGGTGGGAAATGGTGGCCATTGATGGAAAATTGGCTATTTTGATCGTAGGTGAACTCCACTGATGGCCAGTAACTCTACTGATGGCCTCGATTCACCCAACCACCTCTTCAACTTCAAACTTCAAATCCACAACCTTCCTTATTCTATCACTTTTCAATTCTTCAACCAATCAAAAGCCAGTAAATTTCGAAGTCCAAACCTAAAGCTCGTTCGGGAGGTGGTGGAGATCTCCGAGACACCCTCCATTGAGCCATCAACACCGACTTCTTGGGAAAGTGTCAATAAACAAAATTCTCAATTAAATGAACCAAAGCATTTCATATCACAAATTCAAAAATCTACAAATGGAGCTAAATCTCCAATCTGGCAACCCTCCATAGCGCACTTCAGTTCCCTGACTCTTATCAGACGCGATACGGGTTACCCGATTTGGCAACCCGAGTCAAGAATACCCCAGAGCTATATAAAGCTCATGGTTCCTGATAAGGCCAAACCCCAGATCCAAAATGACTTTGACTTCTACTGCTACTTCCTCCATCAGAGCAACTACAGGCTTGTCGGTGAAGCCAGGACGGCTTTTATCTGCCATTCACGAAACCGCTCGTTTTGGTGCCAAAGGAAGATGGGGTACTCAGGAAACGGAAACCGGCGTTTGCAGACTCGCCTTGTCTGATTTGGACAAAAACGTGAGAGACTGGTTTGTGGAAGAAACATCCAAACTCGGCTGCAAAATCATCATCGACAAGTTGGGCAACATCTTTGCAGTGTACCCAGGAAAGAAGAACGGCTTACCCACAGCCATTGGCTCCCATTTGGATACTCAGCCTACAGGAGGCCGTTATGACGGCGTTTTGGGTGTTTTGACGGGACTCGAGGTTTTGCGTACATTTAAGGAAAACAACTTTGTGCCTAATTACCCGGTATGTGTGGTGAACTGGACCAATGAAGAGGGTGCTCGTTTTCCAGTCAGCATGATGGCCTCCTCTGTCTGGGCAGGTTCCCATACTTTGGAGAATATCTATAATTTGAAGAGTGTGACTGACCAAAAACCCGTCAGTGTGAGAGAAGAGTTGGAGAGAATCCAGTACTTGGGTGATGTGGAGTGCTCCTACGAGGCCAATCCTTTGAAGGCCCATTTCGAGCTCCACATTGAGCAGGGCCCTATTTTGGAGGAAACAAACAAAAAGATCGGTCTTGTCCAGGGCATCCAGGCTCTCAGATGGTTTGAAGTCAAGGTGAGAGGAAAAGCTCAGCACACGGGTACTACTCCATTGAGAAGCAGAAGCGATGCTCTTCTTGCTGCTTCGAAAATGGTGGTCAAGGGTAACGAGCTTGCACAAAAGCACGATGGTCTTTGCAGTGTGGGTATCATGGAGTTGGTTCCTGCGGTGGTGAATGTGATTCCACAAGATGTCAGGTTCATCTGCGACATGAGGAACCCGGACGACACCAAACTCGGAAAGATGTTTGAAGATTTCAAAACGGCAATGGCCAGTATCACCAAGGAAAGTGGTGTTAAATTGGAGTACGAGCTCACAGAGCTTCTTCACCAGAAGGCGGTTCATTTCGATGAAACATGCAAGAAGTGCATCAAGGATGCTGCCGAGGAGCTCTATGGTGCTGAACAGACGCTTCCAATTGTCAGTGGAGCAGGTCACGATAGTGGACTCACCTCGTTGAAGTGTCCTACGGCTATGATCTTCATTCCTTCCAGAGACGGAGTTTCTCATAATCCTGAGGAATACAGCACGCCTGAGCAGGTTCATGAGGGTCTTGAGGTGATGTTGAATGCTGTGTTGAAGTACGATGCTCAGAGAACGGATTAGGGGAGGTGTAGGGTGGATGTGGTGAGATAACAGCTATGACAAACAGACTTCTTTTGGGATCGGAACAAAAAAGGATAAGAAAGAAAAAAAGTAGTAAAATAGTAAAAGATTGGAAATGAACAAATCGAATATCTTTCTACTCTGTATGATTGGCATGTAACAACTCGGGCTACTATGAGAGTTTCGTAACCAGGTTTTTCGCTACCCTTCTTCTATGTGAGTCGGAAAAAGGGCAATTTCACTTTGTCTTTTTATACAGCAAATGTAACTGGAAAACTCGTAGATATGTTGAATAAGTGTTTGACGTCGTTCCTCTTAACCCCGTCGTATAGCCAAATACCGGACTCCATTCCCCGAACCCGATCTATAAAAGGCTCAAAATCCACCTCCATTCCAAAAACTCTCCATTTTTATACTTATTTCAAATCGCCTGCCTCCAACATCCCCTGGTCCATCTCCGGACTCTCAAACCCCACAGATCGGACATCGCGACTCTTTACCGAAAATTATCACCAACCACTTCCGTGAATCCCATGCCATTGCCCCATGCTCGGCAAAACCCGGGAACTCATCTGGGGCGTCAAGCCGTCCAATCCCGTTGAGGCCCGGCTTCTCGTGAAAATCGACTGGTTTGTCCTTTCCTTTGCCTGTCTTTTGTACTGGGTCAACTACTTGGACAGACTCAACTTGAGTAATGCCTATGTCAGTGGCATGAAGGAGGATCTCTCCATGCACGGCAACGAGCTCAATGTTATCAATACTTGTTTCAGCGTGGGCTACATCGTGGCGCTTATTCCACACAACTTGATTTTGCTTCGGGTTCGTCCAAGGATATGGCTTTCTTTTTGTTCCTTAGCATGGGGGTTTTTGACGTTTGCTATGGCCTGGGTCCATGATTATAGGGCTCTTTGTGCCATTCGTTTCTTTCAAGCCACGCTAGAGGCGCTGACGTTCAGTGGATGCCATCTCTTGTTGGCGTCGTGGTATACAGAAACGGAATTGGGTAAGAGAACCGCCGTTTTCACGTCTTCGGGTCTCATTGGCAATATATTCTCGCTGACCATGCAAGCTGCTATTTACGAGAGCATGGATGACGTCGCAGGGCTAGCCGGCTGGCGGTGGTTGTTTATTGTGGATTTCCTCATCACGGTCCCCATCTCGGTTTACGGCTTCTTCTGCTTTCCCGATACGCCTGAAACGAGCCGTGCTTTTTACTTCAGCGAGGAAGAGCGCATGTTGGCCCGTCTGAGGCTCAAGAAGCGGCCGAAAACAACTTTCGATTGGTCCATCTTCAAAAGAGTGGTGAGCAGATGGCATTGGTGGCTCTTTTCGTTCTTCTGGGTGCTTGGCGGTGAAAACGAATCTTATGCTACAAACTCGCTTTTCGCCCTCTGGCTTCAGTATTTTGACTACTCCGTGGCAGACAGAAACCACTTCCCTATGGGCGTTTATGCTGTCGGTGTTTTGGCGAATTTCGTGTGCTGCTGGTACATCGATGCCACCAACGCCCGACATCACTACCGAGCAGCTATTCTCATTGGTGTGATTATGATAATTTCGTCGATATTGCTCTTGGTGGGGCCACTTTCAACAGGGTACGTTTTCGTTGCACACTATCTCAGTGGATTCTCATACGCTGGACAGCCTGTATTCTTCTCCTGGGCTAACGTCGTGTGCTACGACGACTTGGAAGAACGTGCTGTTGTTTTAGCTTCCATGAACATGTTCAGCAATGCTGTCAATGCATGGTGGCTGCTTCTCTTTTACGGAGCCTCTACAGCGCCCTATTTCACCAACGGCAAATGGGCGATGATTGCAACTGCGATAGCTAGCATTATCGTGGCTATAGCCATACGACATCTCCAGGTACGAGACAACAAAAGGGAGGAGTCCCCAGAACCGTTCTCAGACAGCTACAAGATCAACTAGCATTACTTATTCAACTGCATATTCATCCGACATTTTAGTCCTCCACATTGAGCAAAATCTTCTTCCAACTTCTCTTCTTTTTCTTATCCTCACCCTCCTCCTCCTTCTTTCTCTGTTGCTCCTCAACAGTGATGGGGTTTCCATCATAGTGCTCCACAGCATTCTGAGTGTCACCAAGAAAGAAATTACTCTGGAAACAAACAGCAATGAAACGAATACCCTGCAACCCCACGGCAATCGGATAGAAGTAGAAGTTGACTTCCCGGTATGCCTTGATACCAGCCTGTCTGAGTTCACTGTCAAAATCGTACTTTCTGAGGTTACTGATGTTGGCAAAGAAGGTCTTCACCTGTTCGTCAGAAACACTAGCAGGCATGTATTTTCTCAAAGCAGCCTCCATCTTTCCTTGCCAGATAGCAGTAGAAACCGCAGAACCAACAGAAGAACCAATGGAAGACGACAAGGACAAAATGGACATCGACACCGCCATGTCTCTATGAGGCACGGAGGCCTGTAAAGCAACATTGGAAGCATTGACGTTGAATCCTCCAGCAATACCCGAAAGAATGTGGGACCAGATCATCCGAAGTGTATTGTCACTTGCGGTTCTTCCATCTATCATGATACCTGAACCCACCATTGCCAAGGTGACACCGAAAAATTGCCAGATCTTGTACCTGTGACTCAATCTCATGCAAATACCGGCAACAATACCGAAAACACAAAGGGTCAATGTCTTGGTGTTGTTGAAGTAGGTCCAGTCTCTGTTGCTCCAGTCCTTGACAATCCATGCAAAAGAGGAAAAGTACACCGCAGGCACCATTCCAGCAAGCTGATAAAAGAAATCTATAACAATAGAGGCCACGAGTGTTCTGTTCAAGGATCTTTTTGGAAGGATAGGAAATGGGGCAATGAGGAATTCGTAGACGAAGAAGAACCCGAGAAGGAAACCACCCACCACGAACATGGCAATCAAACTGGGGTTTCTCCATTGATCTTCTGCATTTTTGTAAAGGGAAAATGGCAACAAAAGCAAGGAAAAGGCAAATCCAAGAAGCAACAAGCCAAAGGCATCAACCTCAATGATGACTCTCCAGATGAGCTTTTTCCAGTTCTTCTTGAAACCCATTTCCTCCTTGTAGTCTGTCATTTCCAGCTCACCAAGGTACTTGTGTGCTCTGCTTTCGAACACAGTCATGATGATGGTAGCTGGAGAAAGCACCACAGGCATGATAATACAAAACATACCGTAGCCCCATCTCCACTGAGTCGGACCCAAGTCCAGTACAATGTAACCGGCATACCAGGTGTTGATAATATAAGGCGTACTTAACGAGGAGGTTGCAAGAGCTCTCCATTTCAAGGAAGTCATATCGGCCACAATGACTCTGTTCAAGAATTGAATACCTGCGCTTCCAGCAGAGGCCAAAGCGGATCCGACAATATAGGCTGAAATGGAGTCACTAGCGGCCACAATGACATAACCCAAAGTGTAGAAAATCACCGAAACCATATATGTGATAGGTCTGGAGACGATATTGGCGATTCTGGCCCAAACAGGTTTGGCAATGGATCCGATAATCTGCACTGCAATGGCCAACGTACCTAGACCCATGGAGTGCTGATTAAAGGCAGAAGTGGCCCATGGCTTTAAACTGTTGGTGACTGAAGAATCCAAAGAAGTGGCCCAGGCACAAAGAAGAACAGAAACACCCAAGGTGATTCTCATTTGAAGGCCCTTGTCATGAGAATAAAGCACCTTCTTGAGCGCCTCCACACGGTAAACACCTCGATCCTTGATGACCTCGGCATCGGCGTCTAGACGGTACTGAGCGTTGGACTCCTCCACATCTTCAGACCTCACTTCCCTTTGACGTTCATTATCTGAAACCTGGACTTTTTCACTTCTGTTCGACAGCTCAGTGTCGTTTCTAAGCTCCTCCCTAGCCATAAAGAGACATCCTAGGATTCTATTTCATATATATTAAAAGCCGATTTTGAGTCCGAAGTACGGCTGATGAAGAAATGCACATTGGCGGTGAGGGCCAATCATGACAGCGTCTAATGTGAGCGAATGCAGTGAGGTGCTTGACACAGCGAGGCTTAAATAATTACTGTCAGAAGCGCATCCCATCTCCTGCCAAGATGAACGGTAGTACTCTACCTTCAAGATAGCTGGACGAAACAAAGATACTTTTTTAACTCTACTTATGGCTTTTTCATTGTCAGGGAGTTTTTGAATCTGGCAGACCGTGAAAGACGCACGGCGCTACAGTGCCCCCACTGCTGCATGCCCAATCTTCTTCATCAGTGCCCCCACGTCAAGGACACATTGATCATTTGAGCCTGATTCTTGAACCTGGGTGTCATAGTAATCGACATTTTTTTGGTTGAAAGTACTCTTTGAAATGAATCCGTGAATCTCTCCGAGAGTCTTCCCACAGTGGGGGGATACGGGCATATCTTGGCTGCGTGGAGCCGCACATACGGACGTTACGTACATGCGTCGAGTAATTGTCCTGTCATCTTTCCCTTCCTGGTAGTGTTCAATTGGGGGTAGTGAAATTGCAAAAAATATAGCTTTAAGCTCTGCTCTTTCTATTTGACTCAATCTGGCTATTTTTTAATGAAAAGTGGTCTCTTTTCTGGTCGGCATTCATTAGTGCAACTCCGAAGCGAAGAATACCGCATAAATCGAGACAAACGTTTCACCAGGGCTGCTGAATCTCTGCACCGTCATGCATTTGGCATGTGTCAATGGGCCACTCAAGATCCATGAATTAAGACTGCCTCGAGACTTTGCATCCGCCGATGCTGCCTCCTGTGAGGCTTGAACTACCTCCCGTAGATTGAAACACAAGACTGAGGTTTGAGAAATTCCCGATATGTTTCCTTAGTTACAGTTTATACCTTAGATTCCCAGCATTGTAGAGTTCCGCGGCAAGATCTGTGAAAGTGCCAGGCAGATACCGTCAAACTACTTTATAACGATTGCATTACTGCCGTGCTTGATCTCTTGATCAGCGTGGATCATGTATCAATTCTCCATATACCAGAATGCAGCCTTTTTACTTCATTGACTACTTAATTTAGTTTTTAGTTTGCCTTGAAAATGCCTCATAACCATGGCTTTACAGAATTTTTGTGCTGCCGCGCAATTGCTGCAAAAACTACAAACACCATAAAAAATCTAGACAACAATAATTAAACCCATATTTAACGAAATTAGTAATTAAAAGCTATTCTTATCCTCCATCACTCTTCCAATCCGAGCAATATGTGCTTCCAGGACTTTTTCTTTGGCTCCTCGTCTTCCTTCTTCTCAATAGGCTTATGATCATCGGTCTCCACGGCATTGTGAGTGTCACCAAGGTAGTAGTTGCTCTGGAAAAAGACAGCAGCAAGTCGAATAAACTGCAAACTCACGGCAATCGGGTAGAAATAGAAATTGACTTCTCTGTAAGCCTTGATACCTGCTTGTCTAACATCACTGCTGAACTCGTACTTACGGAGGTTGGTGATGTTGGCAAAAAACTCACTGACTTCGCTATCGGAAACGCTGGAGGGCATGTACTTTCTCAACGTCTGCTCCATCTTTCCTTGCCAGATAGCTGTGGAAATGGAGGATCCAATTGAGGATCCAATAGACGAAATCAAGTTGACGATCGAAATGGAAATGGCCATGTCTCTGTGGGGAATAGAAGCCTGCAAGGCAACGCCAGAAGCAACAACATTGAATCCACCACCCATACCGTTGAGGATCTGGGACCAGATGATGTTCAAAGTACCGTCACTGGCTGTTCTGCCGTCAAGCATTATACTGGAACCGAGAATGGCCAAAATGACACCAATGTACTGGAAAACCTTGTACCTGTGAGTGACTCTCATACATACACCAGCAACGACACCGAACACACAAAGCGACATCGTCAAGGTGTTGTTGTAGTAGGTCCAGTCTTGATCACTCCAGTCCTTGACAATATAGACAAACGAGGAAAGGTAGACAAGGGGAATCATACCTGCAAGCTGGTAGAAGAAGTCAATGACAACCGAAGCAACAAGGGTTCTGTTGAGACATCTCCTGGGGACAATGGGGAAAGGAGCCCAGATGAACTCGTAGATAAAGAAAAAGATGATCAACACGCCACCAACAACAAACATGGCAATCAAGCTGGGATTCTTCCATTTACCCTCTGCACCCTCATACAAAGAAAATGGCAACAAGAGAAGAGAAAACCCAAAACCAATGAGAAGCAAGCCCAAAGCGTCAACCTCAATCAAAACACGCCACAAGAGCTTTTTCCAGTTTTTCTTGAATCCCATCTCCTCCTTATAATCTGACTTTTCCTGCTGGCCAAGGTACTCATGGGCCTTTCCCTCATACAAGAACATGATGATAGTAGCAGGGGAAAGAACCACAGGCATAATGATACAGAACATACCGTAACCCCATCTCCAGCCCGAAGAGCCCAAGTCCTGGACAATGTAGCCCGCATACCATGTGTTGATGATGTAGGGCGTACTCAAGATGGAGGTAGCCAAAGCTCTCCATTTCAAGGAAGTCATATCTGCCACAATGATGGAGTTCAAGAAATCCACACCAGAACTACCGGCAGCAGACAAAGCTGAACCGACAATATAGGCCGAAATCGTGTGACTCGAAGCCACAATAACGTAGCCTAGAACGTAGAACAACATGGAAAGTGTGTAAGTCGCTGGTCTAGAGACGATGTTGGCGGTTCTAGCCCAAACAGGCTTGGAGATACCGTTGATAATCTGCACGGCAATGTTCAAAGTACCGAGACCCATGGAATGATGGTTGAAGGCCGAAGTAGCCCAAGGCTGCAAACTCGTGGTGACACCGGAATCTAAAGCAGCAGCCCATGCACAAAGAAGCACCGAAACGCCCAAAATCACCCTCATACGAAGCCCGTTCTCGTGGGTGTAAAGCACCTTTTTGAGCGACTCCACACGGTAGACACCTCTGTCGGTGACCACCTCTGCTTTTTCATCGATATTGGTGGTGATGCCATTATCGTCAGTGCTCACCCTAGAAACAGACTCATGGTCGCCTTCTGCTCTCTTTTCTATATCGGAGCCACTCTGGGCTTCTATAGAATCCTGCTGGTGCATTGCACTTTTTAGTAGAAGGGCGAAATCCCTGGATTATATAGACGCTTGAAGCCGATATACGGCCCTGCAAGAGGAATTACCAAGAAAGAGGCCAATTAAAGGGAGGCTTAAGGAGGAGTCGAAGCCCGTGCGGCTCACCCGATGCTGTCTATAGCATGGGAAGGGAGAAGATTTGACATTATATGGAGTGACGTGGAGCCGATCTAACCAGTTTTTGAGATCTGTTAAAAAAAATGGCAAATATCTTCTCAAAATTGACTATCACCGTCTCCAGATCGATCAGATAACTGCATGGCTGTTGACGCAGTGTGGCATGGCGGGACAAAATATGCCAACGTCAGGTACAGGTGCAGCTGCGTCAAGCTGTCTATGCCGCGCTTCTCAAGCATTGTGTCTCGTTAATTTTTTCGGATCTTGAGGTGTACCGTCCCGCAGTTCAGGTCCTGACATTAATATTTTACCTTGGCACGCACCCCGTATTGTGAGAGGGAAAAGCGTTACTAAGGTGATGTGATTTTGAAAGTTTGCCTAAAAGTTGTGGTAGATAGAAAGTACTGGGGAGACGGTTGTGGGTGATCGAAGCCATGAATGTACGAGGAGCGGCTGGCTCAATTGCAGTATAGAGGTGTACCACAAGAAAGGCTGAAACCAAGAAAATACGAGGGTGAATCAGATCCAATTGGAAAATGCTGACTCACATCTGACTGTGCTTCTATAGGTGGCTCCGTATTTCCGACTCCAGCCAATCAATGCTACAGCATACTTGAACGAATGATAATTTATTAAGGCCACGATAAAAGAATGCTATCAAATGGCGAGGATCGCAAGTGGAAGGACCCACTGTGCGCCAAAACGAACGTAAGAACCGGCAGCCTCGTAGGTAGAGACGGCTTTTGGTGAGGAATCACCAGAAATGTAAATTGATTCGATGCCAGAAGTGGCATGAGGTTGTGGAGCCAGAGTGGATTCAGCAGCGAGAGTGATATTTTCAGAAACAACGCCGGAAGCGGAAGCCAGGGGTATAGCAGCCAGGGAAATGTCGGCCTTTCTGGTTTCAGAAACTGCATTATCAATTGGGGTCTCCTCTGGTATACCAGCTTCGCCAGTTTGTGCTGGAACGTCGATAGTTGAAGAAGCACGGCTTTGGGTAGGCTTCAAAGTAGAGGATTGCTCAGAGTCACCATTTTGGGTGGTTGGCTGTTGCGAAGGAGAACTAGATTCCATTGTGCCAATTGCAGCAGCAGATATGGTGGACACATTGCCCGAAGCATCGGTGACATAGTCAGTGGTGAAGGTGGTTTCAGCAGAAACACCAGAATCTGAAGAAGCCACGGAACCGTCAGTAGAAGTCAATTCCCCAAATGACGAAGACTCTACATCGGGTTCAGCAGGTGCAGATTCCTCAGAAATTCCCTCTCCAACTGAAGAGGTCGTAAGCACATCTGATTGGGGCTTTTCAACAGAAATTTCAGTTGAGCTGGATTCCGAAGCAGAACCGGAGGCTGAAGGGAAAGACACCTTGGAGGTGATCGTAAGCTCCTTGCTGACAGTAATGGTGACATCCTCTTCAGGAGTTGAAGAGCTTTCAGGGATGGACCATTCTTCTGAAGATGCAGATGCCTCGGCAACAGTAGATGACTCAGCTGAGTCGGAAACCAAGATGGAAGAGCCACCAGTAGCAGCAGAGCTAGAAGAAGCCTGTGCTGACTCTGAGATGGAAGCAGCAGCTGACTCTGTTACCAAGGAAACGTCAGGAGAGCTGAAGCTTGGAGTCCAGGAGATCTCGGCAGAAGAAGGCTCCAGCTTTGATGAGACATATGTTGAGTTAGTCCAAGAAACAAAAGATGCGGATGGCACCAAAACGGAAGAAGCCTCTGGGATGATTTCAGATTCGGAGTCGGTGGAAGATGAGGAGATCTCTTCGGAAACCGAAGTCATTTCACTTTCGGCAGAATAGGTGGAGGAGACCATCACCTCAGAAATCACCTCACTAGCAGAGTAGGTGGAGGAGACTTCACTTTCTTCATCAGACCAAGATGAAACCGCTGTTTCTGATGCCCAGGAGGACACAGGTGTTTGTGATTCAAGTGCTGAGGAGGATTCCGAAACAAACTCCGTTGAGGCCTCCAAAGAAGATTCTGAAACAACCAAGGAAGAAGACTCAGAAACAACCAAGGAGGAAGACTCAATGACAGAGGAGGCCTCCAAAGAGGATTCTGAAACAACCAAGGAAGAAGACTCAACCAAGGAAGAAGTCTCAACCAAAGAAGAAGTCTCCAACGAGGATTCCGAAACAACCACGGAAGAACTCTCAACGGCAGCGACTGATGATGAAGTGACAAAAGTAGAAGTAGTTGTAGTCACAGAACCCTCATCATCGGAAGTAACAATAATCACACCAGAGGCGGTCTCGGTTTCGTTATCCTCGTTGACACCAGTCCATGTCGAAGTGTAAGTAGTCCAAGGAGGAGAAATCGTCGATGTGGTGGTGGTCAAAGCACCTCCATCGTCTGAAGTAACAACGACAACACCAGAATTGACTTCACCATCGTCAGTCCATGTAGTGGTGTAAGTGGTCCATGGGGCAGGAATCAAAGAAGTTGTAGTGGTAATTGAACCCTCTTCATCAGCAGTAACGATTATAACACCAGACTCAGTAGACTCAGAACCGTCGGAAACAGAGGTGGTCCAAGTAGAAGTGTAGGTCGTCCATGGACGAGGGAACACAGAAGTGGTAGTTGTAACTTCACCCTCAGTCTCTGTGACAATGACAACTCCACTATCGGTAGCAGCAGCTCCATCCTCCTCTGTGACCCAAGTAGTAGTATAGGTAGTCCAGGGTCTAGGGAAAGTGGAGGTCGTGGTAGTGATCGAACCATCCTCATCAGAAGTAACAATGATCACACCAGAATCGGTATTAGCAGCACCGTCAGACTCAACACTGGTCCATGTGGATGTGTAGGTAGTCCATGGCTCAGGAATGACAGAGGTGGTTGTGGTAACGTCACCTTTAGAATCGGTGGTAACGACAACCACTCCAGATCTCGTAGCCTCATGTCCGTTTTCCTCAGAAGCCCATGTGGTGGTGTAGGTGGTGAACGGTGGTGGAATAACCGAGGTTGTGGTAGTAAGAGAACCAGCATCGTCAGTAGTAACAACAACAACGCCAGACTCCGTCTCCGAGGCTGAAACCCATGTGGTGGTGTACGTGGTCCAGGGAGCTGGAATGGTGGATGTGGTGGTAGTCAAAAGCCCGTCCTCATCAGTAGTAACAATGATGATACCAGACTCAGTCGTCTCAGAAGCTCCAGAAACAGCAGAAGTCCATGTAGAGGTGTAGGTAGTCCATGGACGAGGAATCGTGGATGTGGTAGTCGTCACAGAACCTTCATCGTCAGCAGTCACAACCACAACTCCAGAGTCAGTCTCCTGGTTTCCAGCCTCACCCACAGAGCTCCAAGTCGTGGTGTAGGTAGTCCAAGGAGCAGGAATCACAGAGGTAGTGGTGGTCAAGGAACCCTCATTGTCGGTAGTCACAACCACAACTCCAGATTCAACTGAGTCGCTGGTCCACGTAGTGGTGTAGGTGGTCCATAGACGTGGGAAAGCGGAAGTTGTAGTAGTCAATGAGCCTTCGCTGTCTGTGGCAATGATAACCACTCCAGAGTCGGTTTCTGGGCTTTCTTCACCAGAAGTCCATGTAGTAGTGTAGGTCGTCAATGGGCATGGAATCACAGAAGTAACGGTAGTGGTGGATCCCTCGATGTCATGAGTAACAATAACCACGCCTGACTCGGTGGCTTCAGATCCGTCAGATTGGGCTGTGGTCCAGGTGGTGGTGTAAGTCGTCCATGGTCTAGGGAAAGTGGAGGTGGTTGTGGTTACCAGGTTTTCCTCATCAGCAGTCACGACAACCACTCCAGAGCCGGTTTCTTCGGCTCCATCGCTTCCAGTGCAAGTCCATGTAGTGGTGTAAGTGGTCCAGGGAGCAGGGATCAATGAAGTAGTGGTGGTAACAGATCCTTCGTCATCATGGGTGACGATAATAATTCCTGATTCGGTTGAAGAAGATCCCTCAGAGTCTGTCGAAGTCCATGTGGATGTGTAAGTCGTCCATGGTGGAGGAATGGTTGAGGTAGTCGTAGTCACGGATCCCTCGTCATCGTGGGTAACGATAATTACTCCAGACTCCGTTGAAGAAGCACCATCAGAACCGGTGGAAGTCCATGTCGAAGTGTACGTCGTCCAAGGAGCTGGAATCAATGAAGTTGTGGTAGTGAGGGATCCCTCTTCGTCATGAGTGACAATGATGACTCCAGATTCGGTTGAAGTCTCCTCGGAATTGGAAGAAGTCCAGGTGGAGGTGTAGGTTGTCCAGGGTGGAGGAATCACGGAAGTAGTCGTAGTAACAGAACCATCATCATCATGTGTAACGATGATCACTCCTGAATCAGTCGAGTCAGAGCCATCTGAATTGGACGAGGTCCACGTGGAGGTGTAAGTGGTCCAAGGAGCTGGAATAGTCAAAGTGGTGGTAGTCACAGATCCCTCATCGTCGTGGGTAACGATGATAACCCCGGATTCGGTTGAAGAAGCACCTTCAGAATCAGTAGCTGTCCAAGTTGATGTGTAAGTCGTCCATGGAGGAGGAATGGTTGATGTGGTTGTGGTAACAGAACCCTGGTCATCATGGGTGACAATCACAATTCCAGATTCAGTCGAAGAAGCACCATCTGAGTCTGTCGAAGTCCATGTAGATGTATAAGTAGTCCAAGGAGCAGGGATCACAGAGGTGGTTGTTGTAAGCGACCCTTCCTCATCGTGGGTGACAATGATAACTCCAGATTCGGTTGAGGAGGAACCTTCAGAATCAGTGGATGTCCAGGTGGATGTATAAGTGGTCCATGGAGCCGGGATAACAGAAGTAGTCGTGGTAACAGAACCCTCGTCGTCATGGGTAACAATAATGACTCCAGACTCAGTTGAAGAAGATCCCTCAGAATCAGTAGAAGTCCATGTCGAAGTATAGGTGGTCCATGGTGGAGGAATCGTCGAAGTCGTCGTACTCACAGCGCCTTCTTCGTCAGGAGTCACGATAACAACACCAGATTCAGTCGAAGAAGATCCCTCGGCATCCAGAGTGGTCCATGTGGTCGTATAAGTCGTCCATGGACGAGGGAAAGTGGAAGTGGTGGTTGTAGCTGAACCATCCTCGTCTGGAGTCACAATGACCACGCCAGAATCGGTCTCCAGGCTCTCGTCAGTCCAAGTAGTCGTATAAGTGGTCCATGGGTTGGGGAAAGTGGATGTGGTAGTAGTCACTACACCATCTTCAGCCGTAACAACCACAACTCCAGATTCCTGTTCACCGTTGTCTGTCCAGGTGGTTGTATAGGTGGTCCAAGGACGTGGAAAAGTGGAGGTTGTAGTAGATGGGGTTCCATCGACATCAGGAGTCACAACGATAATTCCCGAATCGGTTTCCTCGCTACCTTGACTGTTTTCCGATATCCAGGTTGAAGTGTAAGTGGTCCATGGACGTGGAAAAGTTGAAGTGGTGGTAGTGGGCATTCCATCAGCATCAGGAGTCACTACAACGATACCAGAGTCGGTCTCGTCTTGACGATCGCTGTTTTCAGAAATCCATGTTTTGGTGTAGGTAGTCCAAGGACGAGGGAACGTCGAAGTAGTGGTTGACACCGATCCGTCCTCAGCTGGAGTAACAACCACAATTCCAGAATCGGTCTCGTCATTCTCCGTCCATGTTGAAGTGTAGGTTGTCCATGGACGAGGGAACGTCGAAGTGGTGGTAGTCAAAGAACCTTCTTCAGCAGTGACAATCACAACACCAGAGTCTGTCTCTTCGTTGTCGGTCCAGGTTGTGGTATAAGTAGTCCAAGGACGAGGAAATGTCGATGTTGTAGTAGAAGGGGCACCATCAGCATCAGGTGTCACGACAACAATACCAGAATCCATCTCATCGCTACCCTGGCTGTTCTCTGAAATCCAGGTCTTGGTATAGGTGGTCCAGGGACGAGGAAATGTGGAAGTGGTAGTGGTTGCTTCACCTTCACTGCCAGGAGTCACAATGACAACACCAGAGTCAGTCTCTTTTCCATCCTCAGAACTCCATGTTGTAGTGTAAGTAGTCCAAGGACGAGGAAATGTAGAAGTAGTAGTCGAAACCAATCCATCGCCATCTGGAGTCACAACAACTATACCAGAATCGGTCTCCAGGCTTCCGTCAGTCCAAGTGGTGGTATAAGTTGTCCATGGACGAGGAAAGGTGGAAGTTGTCGTAGTAGGCTGTCCATGGCCATCGGGGGTCACCACCACAACTCCAGAATCAGTCTCATCACCGCCTTGATTGTTTTCTGAAATCCACGTTTTGGTGTAAGTCGTCCAAGGACGAGGAAACGTCGAGGTTGTAGTGGTGGGCTGTCCATTATCACCAGGAGTAACAACCACAATACCGGAGTCGGTCTCATCCTCACGCTGGCTGTTTTCAGAAATCCACGTTTTGGTGTAGGTGGTCCATGGACGTGGGAAGGTGGATGTGGTAGTAGTCAAATGCGTAGCAGAATCGGTAGTCACAAGAACCACACCAGAATCAGTTTCAAGCGAGCCTTGGCCATTTGTGGAAGTCCAGGTCGAAGTGTACTCGGTCAAAGTAAACGATGGGGTGGGTCTGATTTCATCAAGCTTACCGGGAAAGTCCATACAAAGACACTGTGCTGGGATCTTGCCGGAAGACTGTCCGTTGTAGGAAATAGAGTAACCCTTGTTCACCAAACGAGACATGTCGTAGCCTTCACCAATATGAAGCCTGATCTGGGGGTGGCCTTCGAAAAAGACGATCTTCAACACTCCATCTTGATACTCTATACCTGTGATTTCTGCATCAAAGCCGATTTCGTTTCCTCCGCCAAAACCAACGACAGTAATGTCTGAACTAGAGTACATTTCAGCACTCAAGTCATTGAAGGAGATTTTCGACGATGGAGTTGCAAGGTAAAGAACCTGGCTTTTGTCGGTCGAGGTCATCTTCAACGAGTAACGGAAGTGGGCATCCTCCATGACAGAAATACATCCGGTACCACGGATACTGGAAGCCTGTCTCCAGTTCACGTTTTCCAAACAGATACCACCGTTATTGACAAGTGGTCCATTTCTTTGCGAGATAAGAATCGCAGAAGCTCCTCCTTCCGCCTGGCGAATGTAGATGTTACCATCGTTTTTCCACTTGTTTTCACCAACAAGAATCACATGAGGAGAATTAGAATAGGAACTCGTACCAATCCACATGAAACCCGTGTTTTCAAATTCCTCAGTATAGAAGGAGTAGGAACTTGGCGTCGTGGAGTCAAATGTATCGAAGTAAAGAATACCGCTGTTCTTGAGGCTGCTACCATAGATGTTGACTGAAGCAGGCAGCTGGTTGGTGGACTTCACAATGAAGTTACCAAGATTGTTTAATTCGCCGTTGATTTTCGTGACCAAACTGTTCTCGATCGTGTAGTCAACGTCTTCATTAATTGTAAGATCGCTGATCTCAAGATTGCCCTGATTGACAACATCAGTATTCTTGGAGATCGTCAAGCCCCATACTGCTGAGAGATACAGGGCCAGTGTAAGCAATCCTGTTGTGGAGAAAAGCCTCATTAGAAGTTGAGTGAAGAGTTAGCAGCGAAGTTTCCGCCTTTTAAATGCTGGAATCGCCATGGAGATTTGTATGAGCATATGAGTTAGCCGATTACCGTAAATGTAAGGTTGGAATGAGCATCTAGTAAATTAATAGAAGTAAATGCACTGTCGATCTCCACCATCCGCTGACTTAGCCCACCATTTGAGCGGGGGTTTTTTGATCCAAAGGGTTTGAATTCTCTAGCAATAACTATACCGTTGAAAAGAGAAAAATTCAAATCACATTCTACCAAAATTTCGAATTTCAATGGGTGAACTTTTTGTGGAGTTGGAATGCTACGTTGCAGCCGGACCCTCGCTTATTATCACGCAACCCATCGAACGACGGCACCGCGATGCTTCGTCAAAACAACAAACTATGAAACGCGCCGATTTCCCAAAACCACAAAAAACCTAGATTTAAGGTTCGATTTTTGTTTCAACCCAAAAGAATTGTCTCCTGGATCTCATGATCTACCCAAGGGTTTCTCTCAAAATGCACCCTGTGAGCGCGATTTAGACCCGTTTGTTTCATGCACCCTCATGCTCGTAATCTTCGATCAGCCACACAACCGTTTTTCTAAACCATGCAACAGAACACTAAAATGGGGCAATTTTTCCCTTGCATCGAAACCTCCACGCCAAGGAAAATAGGGTTTTTGCCTGAGCATTAGCGGGGTCATAAGATGGAAACCGACAATTTGGTCCAATAGCGGTGAAGCGTGGTAGAAAATATTGAGGATATTGTTGCTGCACCATGGTATGAGCGCATATCGGTTTCGTTCATGAGAGGCCTGAATTGAGCCGTGACGAGCCCAATAGGGCACCTGCCTTCCTAAAGTATAACCTCAGAATTTGTTCGGGTAATTCATGACTACACGAAAGTCAAATTAAACATCGTAGCATTAAACAATTATTTACTATAGTGAGGTGGGTACTACAAAAAAAGAAGAGCAAGAGGAAGCACCACCTCCACACCAAGACGGAAAACGGCTCCAGAGCCTTCGAACGTCGACATGCTCTTGGGTGTGATCTCGCTGGAAACGTAGATAGACTCAATATCTGCGGTTATGTCAGAATGAGGAACATCAGTTGAGCCATGGCCAGCATCTGTCTGATGAATTTGCTCTGCAGTCACTGAAACACCAGCAACTGTTTGAATAGTGCCAATTTCATTTGGAGCGGCTTCCTCAACCAGGGTGGCTATTGGCTTGACTTCCAAAACTGCACTGGAATGAGCATCAGCAGATGCAAAATGGTCATCAACGATTCTGGTTGCTTCGCCAGCGACAGTGTGAGGAACATGGCCTACTGGATGTTCTGGTTTCACAGTATGGACCGGCTTAACTTCAATCTCCTGGATTGTCGATAAGTGTGTTTCACCTTCGGCATCCGTTGTTTCACAAATTACAACAGTATGGGTAGCGACAGAGCCCTCAGCGTCAGTTTCACAGACCGTAGTGGTGTAAGTGACGGGCTCAGTTGTTTCACAAATAGTCAGAGTAACCACCTTGTCGGTTTCAGAAATATAGCAGACTGTACCAGTACAATCCGTCAAAGTGGTTGTTTCAGTCAAGGTCGAACACACTTCTTCCGAACAAACCGTGGTGGTTCTGGTGACTTCCTTGGTGGTCGTTGCAACTGGAATTGTCGTTGTAACAGCACCGTTCTCGTCTGAAGTCACAATAACCACATCTGAGTGTGTCGTTTCACATCCTTCCAGATCTGTAGTCGTACAGATCGTGGTGTAGGAAGTAACACACACAATTTCGTCACAGCTAGTGGTCAAGGAGACTGGTGATGTCGTCGAACAGGACTCTGAAGAACACTCCAACGTAGTGGATGTTGGAATTGAAGAAGTCCACGAAACGTCTCCAGATTCCACAGACCTGGATGAGGGTTCAACAGAGCTCCACTCACAAACAGAGTCAGTACATGAAGGGTGAATCTTGCTCAGGCTGTCTGATGTCACCATTGATGAAGAGACATCGTCAGTTGTCCATCCAACACAAGTAGAAGTGGATGTTGTCAAAGTCCCCTTGTCACAGCTGATTACCACGACTCCACTATCGGTTATACATTCTCCGTTTTCATCGGTGATGGTCCATGTGGTGGTGAAGGTTGTCAACGATGTACACTCAGGCCATGACGATGTGCCAGAAATAATGGTTGTGTCTTTTGTAGAAGAGACACCAGGGTAGCTGTTGGACTCGGAAGTCGATGAGGCATCAGGATGGACCCATGATTTAGAAGGCTTAGAGCTCGAGGAGACGTCAGGAACTGGTTTTGAAGACTTGGAGGATGAAAAATCAGGAACCGTCGTGGAGCAGTCGGAAGTTGATGAAACATCAGGGAACGTCTTGGATGGTTTCGAAGATACATCGGGATGAGTCTTGGAATGTTCAGAAGTCAGCGAGACGTCAGGCCATGGTTTGGAGTGTTTCGACGTTGAAGACAAGTCTGGCCATGTTTTTGATGAAACAGCTTCCGAGGCATCAGAACACTCGGAAGTAGACGATACATCTGGGATAGGTTTCGAGGGTTTTGGATGTTTCGAGGAAGAAGACCAGAATGTGACTGAATCGGAGCAATCTGATGTCGAGGAATAATCAGGTTTTGTCTTTGAGGACCTCGAGGTAGAAGAATGGTCAGGCCATGGGTTGGAGGGCTCCCATGTGGACGAGACATCTGGCCAAGTTTCTGAAGGTTTCGAAGGCTTTGAAGAAGACCATTCTGGAAGAGTATCAGAACAATCAGAGGTTGAAGAAAAGCCTGGCACTGGCTTCGTAGGCTTCGATGCTGAAGAGTGGTCGGGCCATGGTTCTGAAACATCCGAGGTCAACGACACACCAGGGTCAGACTTTGAGGACTTGGAAGTTGACGAAACATCTGGATGCGGCTCTGAAGGATCAAAGGTGGAAGAAAGCTCTGGCCATGTTTTCGAAGGTTTGGAGGTCTTTGAGGTCTCTGTCGAAGACTTTTCGTGCCATGTCTTGGACGACTTTGAGGTCCACGGATAGTCAGACCACGAATCTGAGAAATCCGATGAGAAGTCTGGCTTTGTCTTTGTAGTCTTGGACGAGGGGTCAGGCCACTTATCCGTGGTCTTTGATGTCCATGAAACATCGTCTGTCTCAGAGCAGTCTGAAGTCAAGGAAATATCTGGGAGCGACTTTGACGCCTTTGAACTGGAGAAATCAGGCCAAGGCTTTGAGGACCAGTCAGGATGCGTTTCTGACGATTTTGTAGTAGAATGGTCTGGCCAAGTCTTAGAGGGCCTTTCGTGGTCGCTACTTGATTCTTCAACGGTTGAGGAGAATTCTGGCTTGGTCTTTGTGGTTTTCGAAGTCCAGGACTTTGAGGGTTTTTCAGTTTCTGAGGGTTTTTCAGTTTCTGAGGGCTTTTCAGTCTCTGAGGGTTTTTCAGTTTCTGAGGGTTTTTCAGTTTCTGACGGCTTTTCAGTTTCTGACGGCTTTTCAGTTTCCGAGGCCCAGATCACGGAAGTGGATGTGGTAACGATACCTTCGGAATCCGTTGTAACCACTACGATTCCTGAACCTGTGGTTGGTTTGCCATGACCATCTTCGGTAGTCCATGTCGTGGTGTATTCGGTCAAAGTGGGAGAAGTGATATGAGAATGGTCCCAAGTCAACGAATCTGAAGGCTTCTCTGGCCACGTTTTGGAAGAAAGCTTTTCTGAAGTTTCAGAAACTTCCTCAGAATGGTCCCAGGACTTCGTCTCGGTCGTGGATTTAGAAGTCTTGGACCAAGTGTGTTCCAGGGTAGCTGGTTCTGAAACTGAGTCTTTTGACGATTCAATGTCTGTCAGGACCTCCTCGGACGTAAATATTGTGCTAGCACTCTCAATAGTCGAAGAAGGCAAGGCCACAGTTGAAGGAACGGGAAAGTTGCCACACAGACAAACAGAAGGAATGTTGGAAGGTCTTTCACCCTTATGGAAGATTTTGGTTCCAGCTCCAAGAACACCGTTGGTGTAGAAACCGTTTTTGTCATAGCCCTTACCAATGTTGAAACCTAACTTGAACAAGCCGCCAAAAAACGAAAGGGTCAAGACTTCTCCGTCATAATTATGGTTTGTGAATCCCAAGTTGACGCCGATCTCGTTACCACCTCCAAATCCTCTAACCTGGTAAGTCTTCGTACCAGTGATACCTTCGGATAAACCCAAAACGGACAACTTAGATGTGGAAGAACCAAGGTTAATTGTCTGTTCAGGATCGACACTCCAAGGACTAGTTTGAAGCTGGAGTGTAGCACCTTCCAATACAGATACACAGCCAGTTCCTTCAATACTTGTGGTCTGTATCCATTCAACATTTTCCAAGCAAATTGCACCCCGGTTTTTGATAGAGCCGGCTAGCTGTGAGATTGTGATAGAAGAAGGCTCTCCTTCAGACTGACGAATAAAGATGTCTCCAGTATTTTCCCAGTTCGTAACCGATCCGAGCGTGACTGGCAGTAAAACTGAGTGGGAACCGATTCCAAACCACATGAATCCAGAATTGGTGAAATCGCCAATTGAGCTCAACCTAAAGTTACTAGCGATTTTGGAGTTGAGAGAGTTAAAGGCAAGCTTTCCTTTGTTAAAGATGGTTCCAGACGTGATCGATACAGACGAAGCTAATTGATTTGTCGAAGTCACAAAAAATTCACCTTCATTGTATAAATTTCCTCCAAGAGCAGTGAGTAGATTGTTAACAATTGAGTAGTAGACGTCCTTCTGTATAATGAGATCCCCGATCTCCAAGTTGGGCGGGTCGATTTCTACCGTATCCTCAAAGATAATCAAGCCACATATTCCAGAGACGTAAAAGGCCGCTGAGAGCCATCCATGAAGCGAGAGGAACCTCATCAGTGGAGAATGAGGTCCTAGAGAGATCCAGAGGTTTGGTTTTATAGATTGTGCTTTTTCGTAGTGGTCCGTTGAATCATGGCTGTAACAGGTGCTCTGGTGGTTCTACGATAATTTGGAGCACTCCTTTTTGGGATCACTCGATAAGGATAATGCAACTTCCTTGGGGGAGGTCTAGTAATGAGGCTCACTGATGCAAGATCTTCCGAAAACCGGACTTATCCGGATCAAGCACATGTAGACCCAATTTTTCAATCCATCTTGCCAAGCAGAATATTATCTAGATCTTAGTAATACTCGTTTCTGCCAAAAATAACCTCATTACGAAATCACGCAGTTTATCCGGCCAGAATCTAGGCCAGATATCGGCCAACTTCAGATAGACTTCTGAGACTCCTGCCAGATACGACGCCCCATTTGATCTAAGTTCCACAAAAGCAACCCATTCCCACGAAAACACAACCCAATAAAACCGCCTATTTGCACGCACACGAGGGTCTTTTTGGGTTTTGCAACTGCAACCTGTGCATAGAAAGCGTCGGTGCATCATTGTAGATGTACAGCAACACGAGCAACAATAGCACGCCATGAGAGAAATAGTAAATGTGAAATATAAGAGTTGCAACATACTGGGGCTCCTTCCGTATCTGTTGCCGGATCAGGGCTCTCAATCCGTTTAGATCCTCGGTGATAGGAGGCTCATTCCAGATCGGCGGGGCAAGGGTAAAACCCCCACAGTGCGATATAGAGGAAGCAGGAAAAAAGAAATCTCTTGGTTCATGTTACATCAGGAGAGAAGTCCGGTATAACGCGCTATATTAATCCGAGAGACGAAATTGCTCACTGATATGAAAAATTTTTTTTTCTGGGGAGCAGGCGGAGTGAATCCGGAAAACGCGATGGAAAGGCGACCCCACGGCATCGTCACCAAGCTGGCAAATCAAAGAACAATAGGCTTCAGCTCGAAGCCCTGCTTGTGTGCAGGCCAGATGCCTCTAAAGGAGAAGCAGATGGGGCAAAAAGGGCTGAAAGTCTTCGGGCAAGGATGGGGGCACACGGCTTAATTTGTAGAAATTCTCCGGTGCCTGCCAATGTCAATAGATTCTCCTTGCTCTTCCATCTCATCGGCAAAATTTTGAAATTCGGAAACACGTCAATTGAAGCGCACTATGCGGGTCAAGAAAACTCGGATGGAAAAACGCTGGTCGTAAAAACATAGCGCGGCTAAAAAACCGCAGTGACTCGCCCCACATTATACTACATATGCGAAAGTTAATGTTTCACAACTAGATGGTCCCCCAGGGACCCTTCCCCGAAGCGATTTCATGCCCTTTAAAAGCAATAAAAAAGTCCGATGGCAGAGTTTTTCCAGCGTGGGGGTCCCGACATACCCGTGCCGATATTTTTTCTTGATGGGTTAGGAACGGAGCTTGGCGACCTACACCTAGACATGCCGACCCTGTAGCAACATGCTTTTCCTCTCTTGTCGCCTAGGCGCCTACCTCGGGGTGCATGGTGCAGGCGGCCTGGGAGTTGTTCCGTAAACGTTTTGACGTATAAGAAGCTAGTGCCCCACGGTGCCCCCACACTACCCCGCATACAAGGCAAAGGCTGTTACGAGTGGTTGCATAATCCTGAAAGTGTAGCCTTCCCCAGGTATTGCACCCGAGGCACGGCGTTCTGCTTCTGGGGTATAAATTGCAAATCTTTCCCTCCTGAAATCTCTAATCTTATCAATTTTCTACTCATGGACAAGGTTGAAACAGGCTCTGTGGAGAAGCCAAACATCTCTCACCTCGAGAGTAACATTGAGACCGACACCAGAGATGCGTTTGTCGTGGAGAAGCCCGACCTGTTGAAGCAGTACTCGGAGGAGGAGATCGATGAGTTCCACAAGAAAATCACCAGAAAGGTCGACTTGCGTTTGATCCCCATGTTGGTGCTTTTGTACATTTTGAACTACCTCGACAGAAACAACATCGCCAGTGCGAGATTGGGTGGTTTGGAAGAAGACTTGGGTTTGGTGGGTAACGAGTACCAAACATGTATTTCCATTCTTTTCGTCGGTTACATTCTTATGCAAATTCCAGCCAACATGTTCTTGAACAAGTTCAAGAGACCTTCTATTTTCATGGCTACCATCATGGCTGGTTGGGGTACAATTTCCACCTGTACTGCTGCCGTGCAGAACTTCGGTGGTTTGTTGGCAATTCGTTTGATGTTGGGTTTTGTTGAAGCTGGTTTCTTCGGAAGTGCCCTTTACGTCTTGTCCTGCTGGTACACCAGAAAACAGCTCAGTTTCAGAAACTCCTTGCTTTACTCTGGTTCGTTGCTTTCCGGTGCTTTTTCCGGTCTTATTGCTGCCGGTATCGTCGACAACATGGACTACCTCCACGGTTTGAGATCTTGGAGATGGTTGTTTATCATTGAGGGTGCCATCACCGTTGGTATTGCTCCTTTGGCCTACTTTATCTTGCCAGACATGCCCCACAACTCCAAGATGTTGTCTGACTTTGAGAAGGACGTTGTCTTGTACAAGATCAGATGTGAAACCGGTCAGGATGACTCCGATGAGGAGAACCAGGAAACCTACTGGGGTGCTTTCAAGCTCGCCATTTCCGATATCAAGGTCTGGGCCTGTACTGGTATTCTTTCTTGGTTGGTTTCTGCCGCTGGTGTCACCAACTTCTTCCCATCTATCGTTGAGACCTTGGAGTTCGACCGTGTCATCACCTTGTGTTTGACTGCTCCTCCATATGTTCTTGCGGTTATCACCACTTTCCTTTGGGCTCTTCACGCCGATAAAACAGGAGAGCGTTTCTGGCACGTCATTTCTCCTATGGTCGTTGCGTTGGCTGCATTTATCATCGCCGTTTCCACATTGAACACTGGTGCAAGATACTTCTCCATGGTGATCATGGTTCCTGCCATCTACTGTTCCTTCACCACGATTTTGTCCTGGATGTCCAACTCGTGTCCTCGTCCTCCATTGAAGCGTGCTATTGCGCTTTCTTTGATGAACTGTTTGTCCAACTCCGCTTCCATCTGGAACGCCTACTTGTACCCATCTTCTGCTGGTCCTCGTTACACCGTCGCCTTTACTTGTAACTGTGTTTTCGTTGGTCTTGCCATTGTGTGTGCTGTAGCTTTGAGATGGAGATTGCAGGTGTTGAACAAGAGAATCGAGAACGGTACGATGAACTGGGAGAAGGAGCTTGGTAAGGGTAACGACGGTTCTGAGGTCAAGGACGACTTCAGATTCTTGATCTAGGCTGGCTCTAAAGGGTATATATTACACGACATTTATGATAATCTGATAGAAACTGAAGCGTTGTAGAGACTGGAATCTAGAGTACATGGCTTAGCTGAGTCCGATTCGCCTATAATGCACGGTAAGCCTCTCTCGTATGTGACTACAAAAGTGGTTATTGAAATGCAACGAAATTAGTCTATAATTTGCCCATGAATGGACCAATCTATAATTCTATAACTTCCGCCTGACTATGTGTTTGCTTTGATCAAGCGGTGAAACAAACTGTCCTTGTTCAACAAATTCTCTGGAGTATCAAACTCAACAACACGGCCATCCTCCAACCCCATAATCTTGTCACTTTCCAATACAGTATCTGTTCTGTGAGCAATCGTAATAGCAGTCTTATCCTTGGCCTTCTTCCGGAGAATCTCGTGAACAAGCTTATCTGTTTGAGTATCGACCGAGGCTGTTGCTTCGTCCAACACAAGAATACTGGAGTCCTTCAAAAAAGCTCTAGCAAGGCACAAAAGCTGTTTCTGTCCCGCAGAAAAGTTGGACCCGCTTTCGCTTACTTTGCTGTAAAGGTCAGTAATGGACTTGTCCAAATCAACATCCCTGAGCACTTCTAGGATTCTCCCATCCAGATACTCCTGGAGCGGATCGATGTTTTCTCTGATGGTGCCCAGAAACAAAAAGGAGTCTTGCGGAATGATAGCCAAATTCCGTCTAAGGAAGGTCAAGTCAAACTTTTCAATGTCAGTGCCTTCGATCGAGATCTCACCCTCCGTTTTTTGCAACATCCTGAACAAGGCAAGTATAAGAGAGCTTTTTCCAGCACCCGTTCTTCCGACTATACCGACTTTTTCTCCTGACTTTATGGAAAACGAAATGTTCCGAAGAACTGGGGCACCAGGGTCGTACTCACCGGAGTAATTGTCGAAGTGAATACTTCCCCCTTTCCATCCAGCTTGAAGACCGTTTATTGTTCCCTCGGGTTCTAGATTTGCATATTCTAGACATCTTTCCACAGTCACAAATTCTCCATCCAATCTGGAGCTTATGCCAATGAGCCCTCTCAAGGAAGACGAAATGGAAAAAACGTAGCTCAATGTAAAGCCAACCATGCCTCCAGATGTGCCCTTCCACAGAAGGTAAGAAGAAGCAATGAAGATTATCGTGGTAGTCAAGAACTGCAATCTCAAGCCCAACCACTTGTCGACGTACGAATTCAAATTCAGCACCCTCTGTTCGAAATCTTTGTCCGCATAGCAGATCCGTAAAAACCTCTCTTCCTGGCCATAAGCTCTGACTGAATCTGCTCCCTCAAGGTTTTCCTGAAGAAGAGAAAGCAACGGTGCTTTGGTAACTCCACTGAGCCTTCGAAACTCACGATGGGCCACTAAGTAGACCAGTTTTAGGTGCCAGTAAGCAAAAGACAACACCACAAGAACAGGAATCACCACAGGAGATGAGTAGACTAGAACAGAAAGCGAAAGTGCAGCTGAGGTAAAGTGACGAGTCACTTGAAATATCATTTTGGGAATACCGGTTTCAATTTTGGGAATATCGACAGAGTACCTTGAAGTAATCCTTCCCCTAGGAGTCTTGTCAAAGAACCTCACTGATGTGTGAACAAGACCCCTAGTCATATTCCTGAAGATCGAGGCAGCTCCGTTGAATCCCAAAGCACATATAAGGAGCCAGCCTCTCAAGAGCCCTATCAACTGATCACCCATGCCTATAACTGCATAACCGGTGATATAAAAAAGCGGATTATTGTGGTTGTCACCCCACTTTTTGAGCCACAAGTCTGTAGCGATTTTCAAAAGGCTGGTTACGAATGTGAGAGCCACAATCAGGATCACCACGGGTGTGGAGCAGGATCTGAAGTAGGCAGCATAAATGTCCCACAGAACTTTACCTTTGGCTGTTTCCTCGTGCAACTTTCCTTTGTAGGTTAAGAAATGCTGCTCAAAAGGCTCGTAGTGAAACTCGAGATCTTGCTTCACTATGGGTATCGTGGTTGTGCTTGCAAATTCCTGCGCTTGTTTGACTTGCACATGTTCTCTTAGCTTTGGCGAATTTGATATGTTCCAAATCTCATCGTAGCTGGAATTTTCAACCACATGCCCGTCTTCAAGGAGGTAGATGCGGTTGGTTTGGCTCAAAACTGGAAGGTTGTTGGTGGCTAGTATAACGGTTTTCAGACTCAACATCCCGCTTTTCGAAAACACCTCCAGTATGAGCTTCTGACCCACATGATTATCAACAGCAGAAAGAACGTCGTCTAAAATGTAGATATCTGCTCCAGAGTATAACGCCCTGGCTAAGGAGACCCTGGCCTTTTGACCGCCTGAAAGTGTAACGCCCTTTTCTCCCACTATAGTGAGGTCGCCATCTGGAAACTTCTCAATATCAGTATTGAGCTGACAGGCAGATATCACGGCTTTGTATGTCTCTTCCTCGTATTTCAGCCCAAATTGTATATTCTCTCGAAGAGATCCATTCAATATCCAAGGAATTTGACTGACATAGGCGACGGATCCGTTCACAATAGGTGGTTCTCCATCTAGTTCGCCTAGTATAGCCGAAAGAAAAGCGGTTTTTCCCGATCCTACTCTTCCCACCAAAGCCACAAACTCTCCTTTATTAACGGAGAAGTTCACATCATGCAAAGCGGGCTTTTCATCCCAGAAAAATGAGCCGTGAATGTGGATGGCATTGTCTGATTTGTCAGTCCGCTTCTCATTATTGAGTTCTTCACTATCCAAAAAAGTCATCACCTTTTTTAGTGAAACCTTGGCGTTCAGAACATGTGTCATTAGCTGCGGGATCTTTGTGACGGGCGTCAGAAGCACATTAAGGAGTGTGATTGCTGGAAATATAACGTCAGCGGTCAATGGCTTCTTATAGTAATAGGTGTACCATGAAAGTGTTGTAAACGAAACAAGAAACGGCTGTAACAGCCAGAAAAAATTCGCCACCCTGTTCCACGTCATCTTGGAGCGTTGAATTGGAATCTCAATCTTCTCCTTTACTTGAAGAAGTTTCTCCATAAGAACCGTCTCCCAGGTATAGAGCTTGAGTAACTTCATGGATGAGAAAAGGTCACTAACAGCCTGACTCAACTGGTCTTTCAGGGCTCTCAGTGCCTTAACATACTTTGTGACGATGCTGAGAATGAACGTATTCAAGGGTATGAAAACGCCGATTATAACTAACCCACCAAGCATTGCGTTTCCAACAAGCTTCCACAACGAAAACATGCAGAAAAGAAGCTGCGCTGGAGCCGTCACGAATTCTCCGGATCGCTTTACGATTAGTGTAATTTTGCCGATATCCGTCGTTATTAGGGTATTGATCTTTCCGGACGGATACTGCTCTCTGGATTTGCGGGACAATCTTTGGGCTTTTTTGAATATGAGGGACTCTAGGCCAGCGGAGATCTCATATCCAAGCTGTGATCCCTTGAATGCTTCTTGCGCTCCCAAATGCGTTATAAGAAGGAAATCAACGTAAAGAGCCAAGGAAAGAAGGACTCCGTGCTTGGGATCCAGACCACTGTCAACGGTCTGGATGATTTTCCGCAAGATGTATGGTTTCAAGAACTCCAAGGCGTAGCGAAGCCCCTGAAGCGCATACGTGGACAACAAAGTCCTGTAAAACGAAAGAAATAGCGCCTTGATGAGATTTTGGCGGAAATTCTTCTCCAACGTTTTAGCGGCTTTTTCTGAACTGAAAGTGAAGTCGTCTTTCAAATCCTCGAGCCTAATGGAGCCCGTTCTGTAGCAATTGACAAACGCCGGCGTCATATGGGATAGCGTGGCTTTTTGAAGAAACTCTTTCACTTCTTTAAAGGGGAATTCGACCACTGCTAAGAATACCAGTACAAGCGTACCCTTGGTGAAACCAGAAAGCACGGCATCTGAAGCCCAAAGGACCGAAAAGACAAGGCGCAATGGCCAATAATACATAAAGGGAAGAAAGCAATACACAGTCAACACATGAGGTATACTGCTTTTCTTTATGCTTCTGGCCACTACCAATGCTGCTATAACTGCCCTAGGCCTATAGGGGGGAAGGGAAATAATGAATAGCAATATTGCCAATGCCAAAAAGTGCCATATGTTAAAGTCTTCAGGAGAAAACAAGTCCTCGGGAGAAAACCTCATTGTTGAAAAACTGAAGAAGTATGGAAACTGGGGGTCTGCAGGCTTTATGTACTTGACGTGCCGTGCGGCTCGACGCAGGTGAAAGAGCCACATTCTTATCGCACCTGTGATAAGGAGGACTTGGTGAAAAGGTTTTATTTTGGATTCTACATTTTTAGAATTTATGGCCTGTTTTTGATATGGGGGGAATGCGCTTCTTTTGTACCTTAAAGGCTGGCTTTTATAGCACCTAATTGGCCAGTTTTCAAAGCCCTCGGTCCAATCATAAGCCGATATCCAGCCGAATCTCTAAATGCACATACAATTGCTCCACACAAGACTAAACCACTTTGAATAAAATCAATAGAATGTGGTCTTCTCTCCAATTTGATGAAGTCGGTATTTTTAAGAATTGAAATAAACTCAACCTCTCCCTTGTCAAAGAAACCGTAATCCTTGATGCCGACTTTACCCATTTTGCAGATACACCCTCACCACTCCTTAAACAGTGACGACACAATCTGCAATAATAACTATACTTGCCTAAGCCTCGTACCCTGATTCGAAATCTATTATGTGAAATGCTATGTACTTTAGTTCGAGTTGACCTTGCTGGCAAGCTTGGCTTGCTCCACTAAATTCTGTGGAGCATCCTTGCTGTCCAAGAGAAGCTCGATCAACCTGATCCGGTCGTTCTTGTTGAACTTGTCGTCGTTGAAGAGGTTTTTGAGTTCGGCAGCCTCTCCAACCTTCAAGGACTCGTAGTGCTTGGCGCCAAAGGCAGGCAAGAGCAATTGGTGGTCCCACAATTGGATCTGGTTGTAGTCCTCTTCAGGACCGTGGATCAACTTCTCAACAGTGTAGCCCTCGTTGTTCAAGATGAAAAGATATGGATGCAAGTCGTTTCTGACCATTGTGGAGATTTCTTGGACACTCATTTGCAAGGATCCGTCGCCAACAAAAAGGATGACTCTTCTATCTGGGTTGGTCTCCTTTGCGGCAGCTGCAGCACCAAGAGTAGCGCCAACAGAGTAGCCAATGGATCCCCAGAGAATCTGCGAAATGCCAAAGACGTCTTTTGGAAATCTGGTGCTGATGATACCGAAAGATGCAGTTCCACTTTCGGTGATGACGATATCCTCGGGCTTCAAAAACACCGACAAGCGGTTCCACAACCACTTTTGCGTGATCTTGCCGCTCTTGTCCATTGGTTCAATGCTATACTCATTTTTGAAGTGATCATTGGTGTCGTGGTGGGCAAGAGCATCCTTCAATTCAGGCAGCTGGACAAGAGCAGTGAGGAGCTCCTTCATGGCAAGGTGGTTATAGAAGGAGTCGCCAATGATGGTGTGGTCGGAGTGGAGTTCGATGAAGTTCTCGCTCAAACAGTAGGAGAAAGCACCGGTATTGAAGTCACTGGGCAAGAATCCCAAGGAAATAACGAGGTCAGACTCCTCCACAGACTTCTTGGTGTCTTCGTACGACAAAGAACCCACGTAAATGCCCGTGAAACGCTTTCCGTTCTCGTCGATATTTCTCGTACCTTTGGCCATAGGAGCAGTGGCGTACTTGAACTGTGTAGCCTCAATCAACGCAGCTGCCTCCTTGGTGACATTGTATCTTCCACAGCACACGTCGACGATGATCACGGGGTTCTGAGAGTTTTTGATCATTCCCAAGATTTTCTCCAAAACCTTCGCTTGCACCTTGGGGTCGTTCTTGAGGGGAGACAAGTCAAGCGGTTTGTCCAAACGCAGCTTTGGAACCTGGACATTGACCATATCGGAAGGAAAGCCCAAGTAGCCTGGTCTCTGGTGAATGTAAGCTTCTCTAATAACTCTATCGATGACATCGGGCGCCAGAACCGGGTGATCAAGAATACCATCGGCCTGAGAGATGTTATCAGCCATCTTGTTGAAAGCATCGTAGTTACCCTCACCCAAGGTGTGGTGCAACAACAACTGCTTCTTCTGGGCCACCAACGAAGGGTATCCCACAATGTGAAGCAAACCAACGTGCTCAGCGTAAGAACCAGCGACACCGTTGATGGCACTGAGTTCACCAACACCATAAGTGGTAACAAGAGCACCAAATCCAAGACCGTTTGTACTGGCGTTACCTCTAACTCTGGAGTAGCCGTCAGTGGCATAAGCAGCGTTCAATTCATTGGAACATCCACGCCACTTCAAGCCTTCCACCTCGTTGATTTTATCAAGAAGCGTCAAGTTGAAATCACCAGGAACGCCAAAGATGGACTGCAAACCGATGGGTTCTTGGTGGAGTCTTTCAAAAAGGTATCTTCCGAGGGAGATGGTTTCGGACATTCTGCTTATAGCTGTGAATCAGGGGTGGAAATACCCCATCTTATATGGATTTCTTCTGTTCCATAGTTTGTACATTAGCCGTAGTTTCAATAACCGAAAGGAAGACCTGCTGGAACCGAGAGGTGTAAAGCCGAACTAACCGAGGTTTGTATGCAGTGCGGTCTTTTCGGAACACAGAGTATTCGGCCATTCTGACCCGTAAATTATGTCTTGGCTTACACGCTAAGTCTCTCCTAATTTCTGTCATGTCATTGAGCTACTAATCCTACTTTATCCGAAGAACAGGCTGCATCAAACGGAAGTATGTCCGTTTATTTGTGTGCAGAAATCTCGGGTAATCCAGATCCCCAAGGCATGGTCACCAAGGCTGCAAAATACAAAAATTGAAAAAATGATATTATCGTAAGAAGCATCAAGTGGATGCCTTTGAATTACTTATAGCGCTGTTGACCTTGTGGTTTTCAAAAACGCACGTTTACACAACCGCCCGGTCAATCCAATCTCTCAGCGACATCTCCAGAAAACGATATTGATCGTTTTACGGGTGTAAGTGTCAATTGAGTTATCTTCGGCGAAGTTAATGGTAGTGGTACCGAAAATCAAATGGTTCTTCTATGCGGCAATGGTACATGCATGTAGAGCTCCAAGAGGTCTCAACGGCATCATCAAGAACTACTACTCCACAAAATTGCAACCACTTTATTAAATATTGTACTTCTTGAATATTTGCGCTTCTTAGTAAATTATCCAAAAAAAAAAGTATTTCCCTTTCATCCAGACGAACAATTGTCCACTACCCATAAACTCACATTCCCCATCGAATATTCTCAGCGCCTATCTTAAAGTCTATCCGAAGCGGTTGTTTGCGGATATTCCTACATGTCTGGTTTTCGGATAAACCTTGGCTGCTTTGTGGTAAAATAACCTGTCAAGCTCTCCAGCAATGCTATGATTAAGGTTTAAACTGGCTTTCGGTTCAGGTCTGGATGCGGGAGACACGGATCCGAACCAGGGGTAGAATTCTATAAATACGGGACCTTTCGAATAGAATGGCAAATTCTCCATCACCATGAACCGGGCTAAAACCTACGATCCAAACGTCGTCTGCATTGCAGACTTGAAGAAGTATGGTTCTGAAAAGCTTCTTCCCATGGCCAGAGATTTCTTCAACGGATACGCCATGGAAGGCAAGACGTACCGAGACAACATCGATTCCTACGATACTTACAAAATTTGTCCTCGTGTGATGATTGACAACAGCACCGTGGACACCACCACCGAGTGTTTTGGTGCAAAAGTGGCTTTTCCTCTTGGTTTCTCGCCTGCTTGTTGCCATAGGTTAGCTCATACGGACGGTGAAGCTGGAACTTCTCGTGCAGCTGCAAAGAAAGGCGTGAATATGATCCTTTCTGGTTTTTCGACCACCCCTATTCAGGAGGTCATTGAAGCAGGCAACGGCAGCCTGAATGCTTATGCTCAGCAGTTGAACTTGATGAAGGACGAAGAGGCAAACTTGGAGATCATCAGAAACGCAGAGAAGTGCGGTTACAAGGCCATTTTCATCACCGTAGACACCTCCTGGTTGGGCAGAAGACTCAATGAGTTGAAAAACGGTTTCCACCTTCCTGACCATCTTGGATTTGCCAACTACCCTTGGATCAACAGAGACAAGATGGAAAACTGCACCGATCAGAGATCCGCTTTTGACACCACGCTTACCTGGGAGAAGGTGAAGTACTTCAAGTCCAAGACCTCCTTGCCTATTTGGCTCAAGGGCATTCTCACACCCGAAGACGCTGTTCTCGCTGTAGAGGCTGGTGCTGATGGTATTATTGTTTCCAACCATGGAGGAAGACAGATGGACGGGACATTGTCGACTTTGGATGCTTTGCCTGATATTGTGGCAGCCGTGAAGGGCAGAATTCCTGTTCACATCGACGGTGGTATCAGAAGAGGAAGTGACATTTTCAAGGCATTAGCGCTAGGTGCTGACCACTGCTGGGTTGGTCGTATTCCACTTTGGGGTCTTGCTTATAAGGGTGAAGCTGGTGTGAGTCTTGCACTTGACATTCTCTACGACGAGTTCCAGACCACTATGGCGCTTGCCGGTTGCACTAAGGTGGAGGATATTGGACCGCAGTATTTGGCCAAGGTTGGTCTTGATGGCTCTGTGAAGCGGTTGAAGGTGGCTGCAAAGTTTTGAGTCCACTCAAAGGGTAACCTTTTTTATAGAATTAGCCTGAATTATGTGTTTTGGTTTTCTAAGCAGATTGTTGGGGTAGTTTGTTTGAACGCTGGGAAACAGGGATATTTAGAAGATTCTGGTGAATGCGATCGACCTCATAATCAATAGTATCGTGGCAAGGTACAGCCAAGAGTAAGTTTAAGCTGACTAGCGGAATGCTTGAGCTTGATTTTGGGCTATTGGTGCAGAAGAGGCTTTTTGAGCTCGTGTATTTACGAAGCTTCTTGTATTGTTCCCAAGGGGGGTAGTAGGTAAGGAATGAAATGTAACGTGGATTCAAAATTTTTAAAAAGACTTTCCTACTTTCTAGCCGCCATAAATCACCAACTCGACATTTCCTTAATTCCCTAATTTTTTAATCTCCATCAAATTACCTCCGTGATGTACCAGTAGGATAAACCACCAAGAAACACAGGACTCCACCTCGCGACGCGAATGCAGCATTAGTACGGCTGCAAAGCCTCCCTGCAATGTCGAGACCCCATAAGCCAAGCTATTAAATGACAAAAAGTGTTGATGACAGGCAGATTTTGTGACATCTTGCTTTTTTAGTGACCATCTACATATAGCCATTCTCAATCCTCTTGACTACTTCTCCCTTATCAGTCTCACAAAACCAAACCCACAAAGTCACCCACACATCCCTGGACCAGTGCCTCGACAAAGGGCTTGGCGATGTCAGTCCTTTTGTTCTCAAACTGACAGTCTTGTTCCTCAATCGGGACAATTGCAGAACGGGGGTGTTGTTGGTTCACGATTATTTTTAAGACTTCCTTACCCCGCGACCCATTTTGCGGAGTAAACCCTTCATCAGGTTTAATAACGCACAATCAAAAACTAAAGAATTTTGAATGCACGCTCTAATTCGGAGGCTTCTCATCTGCATCTGATTCTTCTTTGCGTGTTCTTCTTTGCGTGTAGATACGGTGTGGACGCTTTTGCTCACGGAGATACATCAGTATCGGGGTGTTACGTTACGACGAGCAACATAAATGCGCTTTGTGTAACGATGCCTCGACAATTGTAAAACCCTTTGTTTCACGCAACGAACACTAAAGTTCTGCGATCGGCGTTCAATGTATTGTGCCTTCGGAAGAGGAAACTAGCACTGCAAACCTGCCTGGTGGACAATGGGATCGGTTTACGAAGCCGTCACAATGACAGGCGAGGTAATGAGATCTTCTCTGGACGCAAAACTTATCGAAAAGGGTAGGCACGTGTATCGTAAACTGGATTCGAGACTTTCGCTTAGGCTCAATTTAAATTTGAGGCAGAGCAGGGGTTGAGCCTCGTCTTTAGAATTTAAGGCTTATCTTCAGCATTAAAACCTCCTGCTTTAATCATGCATGGAAAGACGTTTCAGGTACCGTGCTTCATTATGAGCGACCACTCCCCATCACAACAGTAGTCCTCTCAGTACACCACAAACATTAAAAAGAAAGGTCCTCACACGAGACCCTGACTTTGGACAATGCTTGAGATACGGTACTATCACAATCTACAGACGCTTTTTTTCGCTTGAGGTGCATGAGCTAAGCCCCCTACTTCTGAAAGCTTCGAATCCATGGCCGAAACGGGATTTGTGTATATTCGATTGATTCAAAACAGCCACGATTCGTGACCAGAAGAGGTTCGATCCTCGACTTTCTGCCTCTCTTTGGAGGAAGTTTGCCAAGAATCTGTCCAGTAGAAATAAGCCCTTTTAGCTCCCTGTCAACGCGGCTTTAAGCCAGCCACAAGGATTCCAGCTCCTCCGACAAAATTAGTATATAATTTGGCTCTAATTTTATTGAAAAGCTCTTAAAGTAATATTCTGTAATTTACTTGCTAATTTCGTACAGCTCATAAACTGTCAATATCTTAGAGGCCCTCCCGAAGAGATGCGATAGATATGGACACTAGGGGCTAGAATCTCTCGGAGAAGGGCTTCTGTTGCAGCCCACAGGACAACAATAATATGACAAAGCAGAGAACATGACAATCGAACGGTCGTACATACGTGTTGCAGAAGTTGTGTATCTGTAGCTATCTCATTCATCAACAACCACGCTTCGTGAACGACCACTAATCGGGAGCACAAGTTACTCTTTCAACGAGTTTCTTTTTCCTTTTCGGCCATGTGGGGCTCCTTTAGTCTCGTAATCGCCAAAACAAAGACTCCCGTCCGCCTTACAAACGTATTTAAAGCCGTACTTTTGTCTCCATGTAAATTTTCCTCCTCTATAACACAAGCAACACGAAATGGGGATTTTCAGATTCCAGGTCTTGCTTACCGCCGTGTGGTGCCTTTCCTCGGTACTAGCATTGGTCATTGATCAAGATACAGTCGTGGACTTCCCTGTCAGTTTGGAAATTGGAAGTCTCCAGGTGAACGAGGGTGTGAGTTACACCATCAAGAACAACTTGCTTACTGTTCTTGCGGGTAACTTAGACAACAGGGGCTCCTGGTTTGTCACTTCCACCAACGGTTTGGCTGCTTCTGTCACTATCGCCTCGGGTACCATTCTTAACTCCGGTGATCTTGTCTTTGACACTTTGCAGGCCAGTGTCATCAGTAACTACAACTTGGACTCCATTGGAACGTTTTCCAACACGGGAAACATGTGGATTGGTATCAGCGCCTTCTCGTTGGTGCCTCCAATTATTCTTGGCTCTGCTTTGGACTGGACCAATTCTGGTAGGATCTACCTTAAGCAAGAGACCGGTGCTCAATCGCCAATCACCGTTTCCCAGGTGCTTGGATTCATCACAAACGACGGTGCTATCTGCCTTGAGCGTGTCAACTGGGTCCAAACGACCTCCATTGTTGGCGATGGTTGTGTGAATGTCATGGATGACGGTCACCTCCAGCTTGAGATCACTCCTTGGTTTGTTTCTGACGAACAGACCATCTACCTTTCGTCCCCCTCGTCCGCCTTGTCTGTTCTCGGCTTAGAGCCCAGTCTTTTGGGTGCAAAGACCTACAACGTGCTTGGATTCGGTGGTGGTAACGAAATCAGAGTCAACACCGGCTTCACAGACTACCTGTACAACGACGGCGTCTTGTCGCTTTCGTTCTTCCTTGGTATCTTCAGCATTGACTTCAATATTGGTGAGGGCTACTCTGCGTCTGGATTCTCCACCAACGGTATCGGCCGTGGCGGTACTAGTATCTCATATAGTGAAGAGTACCCTGGTGAGGTTCCAGACCAGTGTTTGTGTGACGACTTCCTTCAACCACCTGAGGATGACGTCTCCATCTCGCTCGAACCACCTGAGCCTACCTCTGAGCCCGAGTCCTCCACTAACGATGCCTCGGAGCCCAACACCACCGACCCTGAGCCTACCTCTGACCCAACTGACCCAACTGATCCAGACTCCTCAGATCCAGAGCCCACCTCTGAGCCAGAGACTTCAGAACCAGAGACCTCAGAGTCCGAGACTGCTCTGGACGCTGATGACTCCTCAAGCACTGACGAGCCTTCAAGCACTGACGATTCTTCAGGTTCTGATGGACCTTCCGAAACAGACCCTGACTCTTCAACTGAAGACTCTTCCGAAACAGACGGCAGCTCTGATTCAGTTTCTGTAACCGACTCCGACTCCACTGATGCAACTGATAAGCCCACCAAGACCGATGACGGAAAAACCACAACCGTCACTGAGTGCACCGAGACCGACGGCAAGATCGTCACCAAGACCGTCGTCATCTGTGATACCACCGAGTCAAACGGCCATCCTACCACCATCACCACCTTACCTCCTCGTACCACCACCTATGTCACCCACCAGAAGACCATCACCGAGGTGGTCTGTGAAAAGGTTGTGGAAGGCACCATCACGATTTACACCACCGTGACCAAGGAGGCCTTGGTGACCCAGAAGCCTGGTGACCATCAGCCTGCTCCTTCAACTGTGGCAGGTGAGGCTGTCACTGATACTACTCAGACGGTTCAAAAGACGGCTTACGTTTCGACCTATGAGGGCGGAGCTCCTCTTGCCAGATTCGGCTTGCAATGGCTTCTTTCGCTTGTTCTTCTTGTTGTGTTGTGAGATTTTTGCTAGTTCGACTTCGGTCTATTCTTTCGCTTTACTTTGAGGATACTTTCTACTTCTGCTGACCCTTTTTCGTTCGCTGTGTGCCGCATTCTTGGCCTGCAATACCTTTAATTTACTTTTCTTTCGACAGTTGTAGGCGGGGCATTAGAGAAACATAGGCGTAGGTTGTGATTATGGTTGGTGCTACTCACTAGCGGACGTTTAGTATCTTTTGAGCCGCGCACACTAGTACCCTACACTAGGGGTGAATGCTTGAGAGGAGAGGTTGTAGGTACCATTTGAATAATTGTGCCAAGATGGAATATATTTGCGGCTTTCTGTAATTGACAGTCCATTATGAGAGACCTTATCCCCAATTATAGAGCGTGGGTGTAGTTAGGTGTGAGGAAAAAACTCTCAAATCCATCAAGTTGAATTCTACCCCACAAATCAACGTTAAGGGGAAGAAAATTGGTCAGATTGAGCGATCGTGTGTATTAAAGTAGTAGGAAGACTTCTGTTGAATTTCGTTGAAAAGCTGATTTTTGAGGGGAGTATGTTGATTGGTATTTCTGATGCCCTTCTGAATTCGCATAGATTATGCAGAATGTACACCTCATTTTACGAAGTTGTGGCCAATTCACAATCTACTGATATGTCAAAAAAATGTAATATTTTAATAATGATGGACTCAGTAAAAACAAGCAGTTTCTCTTTTTCTGGCCATAAATGTGCCTTTTCTTGTGCTTGAAAGTGCCGGTTGCCGCTTCTGTTGAACAGTTTCTTTGGCTTACACTTAATGACTGATCTTTTTGGCGGAGATAGCTTACAAAGTCTTTTGGGCTACTGAGAGAGAGTTCTTGAGAAAACTACTCGGATGGGATGATATGATAGTTTAAATTGTGCAATAGAATGTTTCATTCTGACTTGAAATATTTTGTGGCATGGCCATCAGCCGTTGATCAAATATTGGCTCTATTCGCTTGCGTTAAAGCTAAACAGATCCAGGATCAGCTAATTCTGTGTTTATCACCTTCTTTTGTACGTGTATTAGTTAACATCGAAGCTTGGGTAGACATCATCAGCCGCTGAACTGACATAATTGAAGCGCGGGCAGCACATCTCTTCCAATATCGATCTTTACAGAAACAGGTATGCAATGGAATTTTTTTGGTGAATTTTCGTCGCTCTCACAGATGTGTACGAGAAGGTTCATTCCACTACCCCACACATTAACATCGTTCACCATAGGCAAGCAGTCACCCAAGCTAGTTCTCATGGCAGAAATGGGCAGATGAATAACTTCCCATAACGGGTACTATTAGCTGCATTTTGATCCTGTTGGGCCAGAAATGAGGTAGTCTGAGAATGAGAAATAGCTGCTAGTTCGACAGCGCTAAACTTCCTCGGTGTCAGCCCTAGCATATCGACATCATAAAATACCCTTGAAGTTTCAACCTGGGCAAGCTTTGGCTTCTAATGACCCTCTTGTGTGGAGATATGAGCAACTTTGGCTATTCGCATGGAGGTGTCAATTTGACATTCTCACACGCTTTACAACGTGGCATTTTGACCCATTAAGCAATAATATGGCCAAAGGCTATTGAATGAAGCTGTTCTTATTGTCCTCTCTTGCTTGCTGAGCGAGTTATGAGCAATTCTGAGATTATCACATTGGGCACGTAGTATCCCCGTAGATGAGTCCTCGAAAATCTTGCCAATTGCTTCAGAAACTTTCTTAAAGATCCAACTAGGCTCTCAAAGTCATCTGTAGACGTATGAGAGACCTCATTGTCGTGATATGAGGTACAATCTTATTGGGACCAGAGTGAGCTCAGCGTGTAACACAGGGAATCACAGTGTTGAATTTAACACTTCCCTTCGGGTATTTGGACCCTAAGCTTCAAACCCATGACAAACTTGCTGATTCCTCGCCGTGTTTGAACAGCTCAAATTTGTTATGAATTTCAACAATTCAACATAACTTAACACCACAACATCCAACCTGTTTGCGAGTAACAAGACTGAAAAGCTTTGATTTCAAGCAATCCAATAAATCCTCTGAAATAGCAGCTCTCTTCTTGTGGTACCAGTCAGATGTGTTGTGATGAAATATGGATGACAAGCGTGTCATATCGAGTTGAAAAGTGTTATGTCAAAAGCAACAGCACCATCTTAATCAGCGAGTCAATCTGACCCTCTTTGGACGGAATCATTGGAATTCAAGGGGCATTGGGTAAACGGTCTTATCTGTTAGAGTAGGATGTTTTGATTCTACTGATATTTTTGAGCGCGTTTGAAAATCGTAATGAGGCTTCGAAGGTAGAGAATCAGAGGATACTCAAAAATGTCGTGTTACTTAAGATAAATGAATTATACTTTTGTAATGTTGTTTAATTACGGTAAAGCTGCTTCGGTCTTTAAGCCCAAACAAATCTTCGATTCTGAACCGTAAGATGATTTCGATCACCCTAGATGCTACAGAGTAGTCTACAAAAGTTGTTAGTGAAAATTATTCATTAAACTAAACAATGGTGCACATGAAAGGCACAGCACCACGTCCAGCGTGCTTGTTCAAGTTGTTGTCCTTTGGAGCGTTGTTCTTGTTCTGAGTAGTCTGAGCGGCCATTTTGTTTCTTTGTTGTTTGATGATGGGAATCTAGAGAACTCACCCCATATTTATATCAAAGAGGCTTTCGTAAATTCAAGGCTTCTTGTCTCATAAGACTGCCGTTTCGAGGTGGGTAATGGCTCTGTGTTTCACCCCTTTTCCTGTTTTGGCGTGGCAATGTAATTTCAGATGCAGCGATTTTCAAGAGGTATATCTTTCAAACAAATTTGAAAAATAATCTTCGCCAACTTTGTAGCCATTGGTTAAAGCGATCCCATTTGAAAGTAACATGTGAAAGTCCAAGTGTATTGGATTTTGATGCACTCACAGCATGATGTCGCATACATGGCTTAGCAAACTTCAGAAACCCACTCAAACAATAATGATGCTATCAAAAATCCTCAAATTATTATCGAAAATGCCATGATATGCGTTTGACCGCAAGGAGGGATATTGTTTTCAGCTCCGTGTCTCGGACATCATCGGATTTTGTTGACACTAGAATCAGAACTTCCGCAAAGCCATTCGAGGATCTTGAATCCCCAACAGTCCAAGAGAAAATAACAGGATAATCTCGATATTTCAATTCGCCAATTAAGACCATAACTTCAAGGTCAGCCGTATGGTTTCATTGTGCAAGACGATTTGTACTGCAGAAACAAGATTATGAACAATACACTTGATCAATTGCAGAGAGAAAGTCCTATCCATACATGTTGGTACTTCTCTTTGCATTGATAGCTGTGTTGCTACACCCGAGCTTGGTGTACGCTAGTGAGAGTGACTTTCTGGACACTCCTTTGAAGGCAATTTGTCATATGGTGAACCCATTGTTCTAACAGGAGATCCTGAAGAGCGTGGTGCTTTGGTTGATCAAATATACAACATGGAAACTCAAAATGCTTTACTAAGTGAGGCACAAGAGGCTGCTTCGCTCTGTGGTGTGACCACCAACACTTCAATCTCCACTCATTTCGAAAGCAGTAATGCAATCAGATTTGTTATCCACATCAGCGAAGGTGACGAAAGATACCGCCCGGCTTTCAGCTGTTTGCTCGAGAATTTCAAAGGTGCACATTCTATTACTCCTGAAGGTGCAAGATTGGGTGAAGTTCTGGCAGAAGAGAACTTAGAAACAGTCCGGGAAATGCTTTGGTGGTTGGACATTGCTGAGCTTAGGAGATTGGTCAGCATCAAGGTGGGTCAATAAGTGGGTGGATAGAATAGCCTTCATTGTTGGAAAATACTAGGACTTTGAGTCCACAGTGATTTGCAATGTGATGGAAAGGTCAGGACGGTTGGGTGATTTTGACACAGATTGTTGAATTACGTTGCATCTTTGATCATTGATTGGATATCATTGCAACTGTGGTATACTTTTGAGGAGTTCGATCATGAAAGTCGCGAACCTCAAAGATCGGCATGGGTGTCTCACTTCAATAGGGCAGAAATGATGAAATATGCAATATTGGCTAGAAGAAATATCTTCGATGGTAATTTTCCAATTGCTTATTTTTGTGTGATATTTTTGTTCGTAATTGTTTTTCCATATGATTGCCTCTATAACGCTGCCTTCAATTGAGGGCATAAGGTCTGAAAAGACGCGTTGATCCTGGGGTAACCTCGAATTCATGGGTAAGATAGTGTGCCACAAATTGCTTTCTTGATACTGGTAGCTTATTTCTGAGAGAATACGCGTCTGTTGAGTAATCCCAGCGCAAGGAATAAGGAAAATGTATTTCAATTGCAGAGACTGAATTCAACCACACTTCATAGGCTGTAAGTATTTCCATGCAAATATTCGTCTTTTGATAATATTGATTTCAACAAATCAGCATATGGTCACTGCTTCTGGTGGTTTGATCGATAGGACATGAACAAAAACATTCGAGACAACATCAGGGGAGTTGAAAAAGGATTATCTGGTAATCAATTATGATAATCAAGTTTGGATAAGCTGCCATACTTGAGGCTTATTATATACGATTCATCAATGTAGATATAACACATTTCAGCTGCAGACTGATTAATGGTTTGAAATAGGTCCGCAAAACCCTAATCAGATTCAAGACCCTATGACAAGATTTCCAAGTGAAGACCTACTAGCCATCTAGTGATGTCTTTATTCCTGTTTAAACAAGAAGCTGCTAATTGCGGTGGCAGAGAAGGAAGTATATGACGGGCTACAAATCATGCTAGTCAGTACAACCGTGTACTACACTCAAGTACAACCTTCGCCAGTAGTACTTAATGATAGATACCCACCACAGATAACGTCTTCTCGAGAAGATGTGATATTACCGCATCAGGAAGGCTAAGCGAGATCTTTACGTGGCTTTATTTTTTTAGCCCATTGTTCTATCCCCACTCACGCGGCTTCAACACACTTAAGCGATGATCAACAAAATATGATGAGCTAGGATGCTTTGGCCCATTCTTTTATTTCAATGTTACATGGCAATTATAGCGGCACTTGCCGTTCCACCTAAGGACCACGATTCCCGACAATACTTTGTGGTGGAGATTGATCACTCCCGTCTGGCTCATAACCTAAATACATTCATTAGCGAACATTCAGAATACCAATTCGAGCATCCTGTCAGGGGCATTGATGATCACTTTGTGTTCAGCATCGACAAAAATCACGATTATTTGCATTTCTTGGGTAATCACAATTCTGACACCCATCAACTCATGAAAAGAGCTCCAGGGTATGAGGATCCACACGATGCTTTGATAAACCACCCAGGCTTGAAGCTGGTGCAAATGCTATATCCCACAAGGCTCGAGCGTCGAAGGCCCGTACCCATGAACATTGAAAAAGGCCCTTCTTTGGGACATCCTGATGACTCTCTGGATGTGTTTAAAGAATTAAGCGAGAAGCTTGATATCAACGACCCGCTTTTTCTTCGCCAATGGCATTTGGTAAACACCAGGTACCCTGGAAACGACATAAATGTCAAGAATGTGTGGTACAGTGGTATCCGTGGTCATAATGTCACAGTAGCAGTGGTCGATGACGGTCTAGACTACGATCTGGAAGACTTGAAAGCCAACTTCAACGCCAAAGGCTCGTGGGACTTTAACGATAACACAGACTTGCCCACTCCGCGACTTTTCGACGATTTCCACGGAACTCGCTGTGCTGGTGAGATTGCAGCTGTCAAAAACGATCAATGTGGAATTGGTGTGGCGTATGAGGCAAAAGTAAGCGGGATCAGAATACTTTCAGGCCACGTTACCCTGGAAGAGGAGGCGGCTGCATTGATTTATGGGCTTGACGAAAATGACATTTACTCAAACTCGTGGGGACCTTCAGATAACGGTCAAACCGTCGCCGGACCCAGTATGTTGGTTCGAAAAGCTTTCATCAAGGGAGTACAGGACGGTCGTCAGAACAAAGGGGCCGTTTACGTCTTTGCAAGTGGTAATGGTGCTGACAATTACGATCAGTGCAATTTCGATGGGTACACTAATTCGATATACACCTTCACCGTGGGTGCCATTGATCACAAAAACTTGATTCCAAACTATGCAGAGGCATGTTCTGCTGTTATGGTGGTCACCTATAGTTCAGGCTCGGGCGAATCCATTCATACAACTGACCCAAAGGAAAAATGCTGTCACACCCACGGAGGCACATCAGCAGCTGCTCCAATGGCTGCTGGAGTGATTGCGTTGATGTTGGAGGCTAATCCAGAATTGAGCTGGAGAGATGTTCAGCATATCGCTGCAAGAGCTGGTGTCACCATCAATGAGGATGACGGGGAGTACCAGGAAACCGCCTTAGGGCTCAAGTACTCCCATAAGTACGGATATGGAAAGATGGATACAGAGAAGCTTGTGGATATGGCGAAGGATTGGAGAGTTGTGAAGCCGCAAGCCTGGTACTACTCCGATTTAGTTGAGGTCAACGAAACCGTCAGTTCCAAGGCAACAGCTGCTAGTGAGTGGATATCCAGCAGTGCAAATATTACTGGGGACGATTTGCAGCTCGTCAACTTCGAAAGTGTTGAACATGTCACAGTGAAAGTCAACATAGAGTCCACTTTCCGTGGTCAGATCCAAGTCAGATTGATTTCGCCTGAAGGAGTCGTGAGCAAACTTGCCGAACGGCGCCCATTTGATAGAGTTGGAACTGGCCTTCAGGATTGGACATTCATGTCTGTGGCACACTTTGGTGAGAGTGGTGTGGGAGTATGGCAATTGGAGGTTTCGAGTTCACGTGGAGAAAATGAGGTGACTTTGAAAAACTGGCAACTTCGGTTCTTTGGTGAGGCCATTGATGCTGATCAGGCGGAAAAGTACGATATAAGCAAGGACTATGCTGCTGAACGTCGGGATTTGAGCAAGGAGGTACTCAAGCAGACCACCTCAACCGAAGCAATTCTGACAACGAAAGCTCTTCTGACCACGTCCACCACTTCTAAAGCGACCGACAAGACGTCACTTACCTCAACAGATGCTGCAACTACTTCGAAATCCACAGGTCTGGAATCTGAAAAGTCCAAGAACCCTCAGGAGACAGCACACCATGGCAATCCTCACAGTGCATTGGAAGTTGATGCACAAGTGTTGCTAGCAATAGCTGTTCTTATTTTCATAGTTGCAATTGTTGTTATGAGGAGGCACAACACACTGAGAGTCAATAGACGACGCAGGGCTGAAGCGATTGAGTTTGATCTAGTTCCTGGAGACGATTACAGAGACACATCGGAAGAGGAGTTGGAATCTTTGAGCAGGCACCTTGACCGGGATGATACAAGGTTGTTAAATGAGCATCTGACGTTTCAAGTTGGAGATTTCGAGGAATCTGATTTGGAAAATGGGGTGCCACCTGATGAACAAGGAATTCGGGGATGAAGAAAGGGAAGCATATTGAGGCTTTAGTTTAAGCAACTAGTTCCATAGTGAGATACATGATAGTGATTATGGGGGAGTAGTAAGTTAATTCTACCGTAGATAGTGAGGATTTGATAGCTAGTTTTGGTGCACGGGTGTCAAGGCCAAAAATTGGTCTCGAATCTTTTGGAGTGATTTGATGAAGAGAATAATATACCCATATTTTACTAGTATGTCGACTAAAAAGCTATTCCAGTACTTAATTGGAGTATAATCTTCCAGAAATGCATCCTGCCAATCTCTCAAGTCCTTGTAATCCACCATCTACATCAAGTGAAGATACCTGATTCTACAAATTTGATAAAAAGATGTGATTTTATTCATCTAGACAATTGTGCACATGAAAGGAACGGCACCACGATCGGCGTGTTTGTTCAAGTTGTTGTCCTTTGGAGCGTTGTTCTTGTTCTGGGTAGTAGTCTGAGCGGCCATTTTGATTTCTTTGTTTGATGGTGGTTAAAGAGGAAGATAGTTGCCTATTTATATTCCAAACTCTCACATCGAGGTCTCGTATGTTTGAAGCTCTTGAGTCTCATTAGACTTCCACTTTGGGGTCCTCAATGACTTAGTGTTTCACGGTGTTTCCCAATTCGGCGTGGCAATGGACTAAGGTGGAATTAGTTGACTATGAGGGCCAATAAAATATCATTTTCAGGCAACAAGCGATGATATTTATACATGATTTACCTCCTTTCTTGGCTTCGGTTCTCTAATATTTCGTAGTTTGGATGTGAGGTTGGAAATACAGAAATTCTGATGTTGAGAGACTTTTATACAAACAGCAGTACGAGCTAATCGCCTGAACAAGCAAGTAGTTCGTAATTGGAAGCCACTCGTTGTCGTATTGATTGATCAGTTTAATATCTGTCATTGACGATGCTTTCCAAAGAAACTTTCATGTCGCTTGAATATGCGAATTGCTCATAGGTGCAATTTTGTAGCTACGAAAAGCTACAAAGAGCCCCAAAATAGCTATCTATGTTCAGTATTAGACAATCAACACTATTCATATTTTTATCATAATTTTTTATATAGTCCCCATGGTGTCAAATGCTCATGATATACGCACACGGCACTGACGTCAGATATCATAGTATATGGATCCAAAGTAGAGGAGAAACCCCTCAGACATCATAAATAAGGGCAAGAATCATTGTAGTTCTCTGAGTTCTCTTGCTACTAGATTGTGGATGTTAAAAACTACCGGTATGAAGCGAAAGAGAAGTTATAGGGATCCACAATGTGAGGTGGTGTCCTTCCTCAATTAATGGAAGGCATCATTTTAGGCTGAGGATTTTGTCTACTCCA